TGACATGTCTCAAATGAGAACAGATTTAAAATTATGTCCCTTTATGGGTTTGCACAATGTTTTTGCTGTGGTAAAATTGTGTGTTGCTCCTTGTTTATACCAGTATGACAAAACTGACATCAGTTACATGGGAGATGAGAGATATATATAATACAAGCAAGTGACAAAATGTTTTAGGAATACACAGGAGATAAATTGAAGGAATAGAGTTGATCTTTGATGCCATTTAACACTAAATATATCTCATTCAGAAACAAATTCAATTTCTCAGAAAACTATACATGTGCAGTATTAATTTTCCTCAGACTAATAAAGAATCAGCAGTAATCTGAAAGCTTTGAAAACTTTTCACATCAAAAAACCCCTTCAAACCCCAAACTCACTATTTTTATATGTGTGAACACCTATATATGTTGCAAACACATAATGCACAATGGAAAGCAGAAAAAGCTACTGAATGTCACTTCAAAAATTCATTTCAGAATCTTAATAAGGGAAAATGAATTTATTTACCACAAAGCCCTTAAAATAAGAGTTTAAACTGAAGTCCTGAAAAACAATTAACAGCAGAATTGATCATGAAAACTACCAGAATATGCATTAATGAGTATGAGCAAATCTTTAATGTATAATGATGGTTTTGGAATTCTTTTTGTCACAGATATCTTAATAGAAAATTGTCAAAGGGAAGAATTCTACTAATATTCATGAGAAAAATGAATAAACACCTTACTTCCAGATATAGGTGTGGATGGTGATAGGAGTTTTTGTTGTTTTATTTTTTCTTCCTCTATGGTTTTTTTTTCCATGGTATTAGAGAAGAAAAGATAGCAACTATTATAACCTGAAGGTCTTTATTTCCTCTGACAGAGAACATCTCTGTGGATATGTGAAACAGAGTGGGAAAATAAAACAAGCAAAGAATAAAAGTTATGAAAATTAATTAATGAGTTCATGACTTTATGGCATCTTAGGGAATTTACTCAGCTGCATAAATTAGTGGAAATTCCAATAATATTCTCAAATGTTCTCTTAACAGGAACTTTGTATACCATTATATACACTTCCATAGCAAACACAGCGAACTGCTTACTACATGCACCTGACAGATGGTATTTTGAAAATAAAACAAGTGAAGCTGAACCCATCAGTTTGGGGTGTTGGCTTGTTTTTGTTGTTATGGGGTTTTTTTTCTGTTTTGTTTGTTTGGTTTGGTTTAAATGTTTTTTTATGTCTCTCAGTCACACAAAACATCCCCCGGAAAGCAAAGTGAAACCTGGAGGAAAATGCTGCAAATCCCAAATGTTTCTTATTTCTTTTTAGATTTGCAATGAAAAACGTGTCACAAATCTGGCATATCCTGTTTTAAATGATGTTTACTTTCTTAACACTGTCACAATAGGTTTACTTAGAATTCTGTTCTGATTGAACTACAGTCTTATAATACAGTTTTATAATATCCTTAATGCATTTAGATTTATTTATTTTACAGTTTAGAAATCTGACATGGGGATAGGAGTAGGTTCTAATATTTTAAAAATATCAATTTCCTTAATAGTAGTGAGAAGTTTATAATTGGTCATGAAATATAGTTAGTGCTCCAAAGATGTAACTCTTATACAGAGTAGGAGGAAAAAATCAAGACAGAGGGATTTGAAGTGATGGAATCATAAAGAGCTCAAGTTGGAAGAGAGTTTTAAATATCCTCTGGTCCAACATTTCCTGGCAAAGGGAGATGAAATGGAATTACCTAGCACCCTATCTGTAACACCTTTTTGGTTTCCCACACCTATCCAGTCACATCTTGAAAATTTCCAGTGGTGTGGACTCCCATCACATCCCTGGGTGGGTTGTTCCAGTGAATACTTGTTCTTATTACCAAAAAAATTCTTTCGTATGCCAGGATGAAACCTCTCCCGGTGCAACTTGTGCTCATTACCCCTTGTCCTCTCCATGTGACTCCGTGGGAAGAGAGACCCTCTATTTTCTTTATAGACACCCTTTAACTACTGGAATACTGTGATGAGGTCTCCCCAAGCCTTCTCTTCTTCAGGGACTAACACCTTCAGCCTTTCCTCACAGACAGGTTTTTCAGCCCTTTGATTATCTTCAAAGCCCTCCTTTTGACCCTCTCCCGTCTGTCTGCAGTCTTTCTGAAGTGGTGGGGATAAGAATAGACACATTACTTCATGTGCAGCCTGACAAGCACTAAGTAGAGTGGGATGATCACATCTCTACTGCTGCTAGTAATGTTTTTGCAGATGTAGCCAAAAATCCAATTTGCCTTCACTGCTGCAACTGCACACTCTGACTCATGGTCAGCTTGTTGTCCACCAGGACCCCCGGGTCCCTTTCAGTGATGATGTTCCCCAGCAACACAGATCATGGCCTGTTCTGGGTGCTTTGGTTATGTTGTCCCAGGTGCCGAACCTTACATATGTCTTTATTACAAACTCATAGAGTTCTGGCTCACCCACTCTTCCAACCTGTCTAGGTCTCTCAGTAAGGTGGTTTTTCCTTTTCACATGTCCACCTCACTATCAGTCTGATGTCATCAACAGAATTATGAGGCTGATTTCAATCGCATCATTAATCAGATAATTTATGAAGATATTCAACGTCACGTGGCCCAGTATTGATCCCTGGGGATCCCTGCCAGCCTGAGTGAAAAAGCGTTGATCATCACCCTTTTAGAGCAGCCTGTTAGCCAATTCTCTACCCATCTTACAGATCACCCACCCAACTTGTATCTTACCTTTTTGTTCAGGAAAAGACTGTGGGGAATGGTATTAAATACACCATTTTGCTGAAGTCCAGGTAACCAACATCCACTATCCCCCCTTGTCAACAGAAGGTGTTGAAGAAAGTCAAAAGAAAAGAAGAAATTAAAAAGAAGTCTGAGAGGTTTATGGCAAAGAGAGAAAGTAGTTTAAGAGGATGAGAATTTTAAATGACTTTAAATTTTCTGGAGAGAAACAGGGACATTAATGCAGATGATTTACAATGACTTTTCACCTGTTGAAGTTGTGTGTGTTTTTGTAACATCTATGCACAGTTGCAGAAGCTGCTGTCTGATCTTAGTCGCAGGCTTCACGTATTGAATTGCTTCTCTGCACGTGAAACGGAGCTTGACCTTTCTGGTGATGCATTCTACTTCCATTCTGCTATAAAGCAACTGCCATAAAGCCATTCTTGATTAAGAACCAAACCATATATTGTAATTAAATGCAACTAGAAAAATATTTCCTTTAACATGGTCTTAATCACTGCAGACTGGTTGCACTTTTGACAGAAACCAATCTTTTCCAGTTCAGTTTTTATTCCTCATCTGGTTAGTCCTGTTTATCATCAAAAATGTCGTAGTATAGAGAAATTAATCCCTTTGGGGCATGTTCAAAAAAGTCTGCTACTTCCTGAATGGATTATGAACTTCCAGGAGAATCAAAAACTGCTCTGACAAAAATTTTATAAACGTGTATTATGCCATCTAATCCTAGAAAACATAAAACAAATTTCAAGTATGCCTGGTCCTTACATAACACTGAAGGAAATGGGGAGGGGACAAGGAAGGCAGAATACAACCTTAAACAGTACCAGATTTGGACTCCGGCTAACTATACAGAAGTCAAATTGCAATGATCAATTTAATAAGTGTGAGGGTTCGCATACAACCTATATTGTGAATTCTGATGTTTTTATCAGGAATCATACAATGAAATACAATACAAGGCTCAATTTATAAGAAAATGTAAGATTTTCAGGGGTTTTTTAAAGACATTTCTAGTCCCAAATGAATGAGGCAAAATGCTGAAAATTATATCACAGTATTATAAGCACTTAAAATTTCAAAGGAAAAAAACAATCCAAACCATATTGCTTCTAAATGTCCTTTCTTATTTGCAATTCCATGCTCTGGGTGTTTGTTTGTAGGGGCTATTTGAGGAGAAGTAGAGGAAAAAAGAAGAGCAGAGGAGTTTGGGTGGCTGGTAATAATTTTTTTCACAAATGTACTGCCTGTTTTTCTTGCTTGTCTACTCTTTTTTTGCAGTGAATTGTCTACTGTGTTTCATAGTCTTCATGAAGTCAATTGTTCTTAGAGGATTTTTCCATCAACACGTTTTTTGCTGAATCACAGTGCCCATTTTCCAGGATTCATTAAGAAAAATAGTAATGAATGACACATAGTTCATTCATTTTCCCAGTTTCTCTCTAGATAAAATGTCTCTTTGTGACTGTCATAGTGCTTTCATGGCATAAATGCACTATTTCTCATATTTTGAGAGTACAGGGTAGAAGATTGGGCCTAGACAGAAAGATTTTTGATTGCAGGACATTTGGCAGCAGTTGTGCTGACTGCCTTCAACCAAAACACGCTAACATCTTTGGGATTCCCCTGGGATCAATAGGACAGAAAGAACAGAAAACAATCCAGAGAGTCAGATTCCAGCAACAAATTTTCCAAGTTAAATTTTTTACATTGTAAGGAGGCTATATTTATAATGTCCACATGGCTTGACATCTATAATATTTATATTATTTTATTTGTATTTATAATAATTTTTTAATATTTATTTAAATGTATGATGGTTAAATGTTACCTGTATTAGGTTTAATCATAACCAAAATAAAACTAAGGGAAATAATATAGATTTTTTTACAGGTAATAATAAAAAGGAATTATTCATATTTAAAAAAAAATTGTTAACATATATAACATTTAATCCCTTTGCTATGTTGTCTATTTGCACTTCTTTATATGTGTACAATTCTACCTATACAAATACAATACTACAGATTCCCCCAATTTAATAAAAATAAAACTTTTAATTAAGTCAATTAAAGAAAAAGGAAAGATATTTAGCATTTCTTTGATTTAGTTAAGGAGGTTTATTTAAAATTTCTCTGACACACTTAATGATTTTTTTTCCTTTTTTCTTTTTTCTTTTTTTTTTTTTTATTTAATTGTTAATTTTATTTTTTTTTACTGTGAAAAAATCTAGCTGGTCACTGTGGTATTCCAGATCTTATAGTCAATGGACAAGTAATAGGAGAAAATTATGGATATAGAGACACAGTTGTATACCAGTGCAGTCCTGGTTTTCGGTTGATTGGCTCTTCTGTAAGAATATGTCAACAGGATCACAACTGGTCTGGTCAGCTTCCATCTTGTGTGCGTAAGTAAGAATGGAAACACATATGGATTTATGTTGCAGGAATATCTATGTCAGAAAGATGAGGATTGAATTTGCAACTTAGTGTTCGTTAAAAAAAAAAAAAAAACAGATCCTCAAAAGTGTGTGGCTACACAAAACTTGTAACTCATGTATCAGGTGAAGTTAAGTGTTATCACTTAAAATTTCCACTACATCTTTTGGCCTCTAAATACCTGGTATTTATACATGGATATGAAACCTCTTCAAAAATTATAGGATTTAGGAACATTAGTACTCAAATTTGAAAATGGCTTTATGACCCACAGTGGCTTTTGGAAATATTTAATGAACATTAACTATCACTACTGATAGTTAGATAAGTAGATATTCTTGAATTATACTGTCAGTTGATGATTATACTGATAATCATTACACCGATGATAAAAATATTTTCTTCAAAAAATTATATTTTTTTTTCCTTACTATTCCTCACATTTTTTTTCTTTTGTGTGATAGGTGTGCCAACATATCACATAAAAGACCTTTAAGTAATAACAGAAAATACTGTATTTAATTTAGGAAAATTTGAGATTTCTTGAAGGACTCTCAAGTAAATTACAACTATGTTTCTGGTTCAGCAATACTAGTGTATTGAAACTGTATTAATCTGCCTCTAAATATTCTATTTATATATCTATATCTTTGTGGCAGAAACTCTCTCAATAATGAATCATAGTATTCAATGCTAAGTAATTTATTCTGTGAGTTTTTAAATTTTTATTTTAAATTAATAATGAACACTTTTTTATCAACAACTGAAATTTTTTACAGCATAGAAGAAAATGCTTATAAAGCTTTTTAAATAATTTTGTGAAAATTAATTTATGTCTGATTTTCCTTACTGGTTTTTTTCATCTGTTTTTTATGGGCACAGAAAATAAACTTTACCTTCTCTAGTCAGTTTTTGTATAAATATGAGAAAAATTTCACTGTAACCATAATGTTTCATATATCCAGTCATAAATTTATAACTTCACTAATATTTAGGCATCAAAGATAAAATATTGAGTTGATACTAAGACCTATTTGTAAGAAATAATACCTGAGGAACTGAAATGTATTTTTCTTAAATTTCAGACTATATGTAATGAAAATCTAGTGCTTTCTCTTCTTCTGCATCTTCAGAAGAGTTTTCTTCACTTGCCTTCATTACTGCATGTCAAATTCTATTCAGATTATTTAAAATAAGTTCTTGAATTTGAATCCATCATGGGAAGTCCTCGGTATCTGATAATATCAAAACTTGAAAATACTATTATATGATACTATTATATAATTATTATCTATTACATAGTAAATAATGAACAGTGATAACAGCACGCTTTTTTTCATTTCTTTGTTTTGTGCTTTGTTAGCTGTTAGCTGTGGTCACCCTGGTAGTCCTATTTATGGAAGAACAAGTGGAAATGGTTTCAATTTCAATGATGTTGTGACATTCTCATGTAATACTGGGTATATTATGCAAGGACCAACCAAAGCACAGTGCCAAGCTAACAGGCAGTGGAGCCATCCACCTCCAATATGCAAAGGTAAGAATGCAGAATATACAGGTTTCCAACTAAATGTTGGAAATTTAAAGTTGAAAACAGAGGGTAAAAGGACACTGTCATGACAAAGTGATCTCCCTCTTACTGAGAGACTGAGTAACTAGCATACTAATCATATTATTAAGGATATTTTGTGATTCTGTGATTTTTCACATTCAGCTTGCCAGGATAACTGTTGCAGAGAAACTTTCTTATGTGTCTGTAGTTTGTATTGATTTTTGTAAAACCATTCCTACAAGTCCCTTAAGCAAAATTATACAGAGATAATTAAAAACTTAAATCCCGAAATAGTGTTCTCTGCATTTTTACCAACACAGTTCTAGTAGATGCATAAGAAAATCTATATTTTTCTTCTCTTATGTTTCCGTTGATGCTCCATTGAGTATCTTGATCTTTAATTTTTTTTTTAATTTGTTAACCGATTTGTAATCCATTTGTGTTGGTTCTCAATGCTCTAGATAGTATTCTAAAAAAATAGTATTGTGGAATTAGTTCTGTTTGAGTTTTCATAAGTACTTTTAGAAAAGTTTTGCCACATTGTCTTTTTAAAATCTATTATTATGTTTTTTTTAAAATATTTTAATTGTTTTTATTTAGAAAAATGTATTTTTTGCTGTAACCTACTTGAACATATGCAGAAATAGTGTTGTTTTTCAGCATCTTCTCTGCAGCTTCTATGGATTTTTATCTGTACGTTAACTAAATCATATTATGTTTTTATAGGAATTTTATTTACTATATTTTCCTTCTAATAGGTGTTCTCCACTTTCATTTGATCACTTTGCCTTTAGTGATGTTACCAAATAGTTTACAGAACTTAAGTTTCCAAGGGAGAAGATATTATTTTTAAAATTTACAATACTAAACACTGTGTGTTTAGGATACCTACTTAATCTCATGTTCAGTCCAGTTGTTCTCAATCACCTCGGTATTCTGGTATTGCAGAGTAATATGTCAATGTATCTGATAAATTACTGATCAGTAAATAAGTTGATTGGTTATGCTTTGAAATGTTACACAGTCCTGAAATCTTATACTGGTTTTAGAAGAGACTTTAAAACTAAAAAGAACTAACTTTGTGTAGGGCATCATTAATTGTGTCTGTCATGTGCAGTGAAATCAGTTCTAATGAAAATAATTTTATTTACTTTGAGGTTAAATAACAACAACAACAATACTACTACTACTAATAATAACAATAATAATATGTTACCCTGCATATTTGTAAGCTGCCTAAAGTGAAATATTATAGAAAAGACTACACACCTTTACGAAGACTGAATTTGCAATTGTCATATAAATTCAACAGCGCACTTGTTTTTATACTATTTACAGTATGCTAAATAGCTAGTTTCCTAGCCAACTGTAATAATGGTGGAAAACTATTGAAATGGTAAAAGTTCATTCTATTTTATTTCAAGTGCTCACTATTCCAGATTAATTAATAGATTATTTTCATTACTTTAGATACATGCTTAATAATACGAACATAGACAACACTCACAGGCACATGGTATGATTCTTGGGGCTGTCCTATGCAGGACCAGCAGATGGACTTCAATGATTCTTGTGGGTCCCTTCCAATGCAGGATATTCTATGATTCTATGGTTGTTCAACTGACAAAAGTGATAGGAGACCATTTAAAGACCGTTTTAGGAGACTGTATTTGTATGACTCTCAAGTCTATGCTCTTTTTCTTTTTAGTGGTCAATTGTTCTGATCCTGGAATTCCTGCAAATTCTATAAGAGAAAGTAAAATAGAACATGGAAATTTCACATATGGCACAGTGGTATTTTATGACTGTAATCCTGGATATTTTTTATTTGGCTCTTCAGTTTTAATTTGTCAACCAAATGGCCACTGGGACAAACCTCTCCCTGAATGTATTAGTAAGTAGATAATGAGTTTAATTCTGCAAAGAATGTGGGCTAGACTGGGTACTATTTTACACAACATTTCCATCAGTCTCATGACAGCAATTACGATAATCATGTTTAATATACATTTGTGTGTGTGCAGCACTGATGAAAGGTCTCAATAGCAGCTGAAGCAGCAGTTAGATTGTTATTGCATGTGGCAAATGGGACAAGCAATAGTCAAAACAAACACCTCTGAATGCTCCAGCGGAATAATCCCTGATAGCAGAAACACAAGGACAAAACATATCTATTGAATTTGCCAATACCTGACTTCCATTGGCCACAGAGTTCTTATCACACTGAAACCTAAAACCTAGAGTATGCAATTATTGACTTATATCAATACAGTAGTTTCTGGACTTCTCTTGGGACAACAGTTAGATCAGACTATCTATGAAGATACCAAGCACTGTAGAACTCCTAAAGTGTCCTCTGGATAATGTCCTCAGTTTACCACAGTAGCAGATGTACCTGAACATCATACTCATATGCAACCTATCCACTAAGGCAAGTGGATCAACACAAATAGGTTCTTTCTATTCTGGCTTGTCATGAACAACTTTCTAACTGTGACGTAGATATAGCCAGAGATGTTTCTTATGTTTTTAATTGGCTGGGGCAGTTGTTTCTCTATTAGTGTATGAAAAGGGTTTGGTTTAGGGTCAAAATTTTTCTCCAAGAAAGACTGAAAACTTTATTTTCTAGAGATTAAAGGGAAAACAAGTTAAGAGTTTCTTATTTGAGAATTATGGACTGATATTGTAGATATTTGTTCTCAAGAGGCTTCTCTAGTTCTGCTATTCTCTCTCTAAAAATAAAAAAAGTATGAAACTATTTTGTTATTACTGCTAAGACGTTCATTTATGGAACTTTTCCCTTTCTTTAATGGGATAAATAGTTTGACTGCAAGTCACAGTTAAACTAAAAAAGAAGTATCTATTGGTTTCACATTAAATTTAAAGGTAACATTACCATTTCAGAAAGAGAAATGTTGCTTAATAGTAACATATATACAAAGAGAGTGGAATTTTAAGGTAAAGTTGCAAAGATTTCTTCTTTCTACATTTGTATTTTTATCTCTCAGTCATTTTTTTCCAAATTGTCACAAGTAATTTAATGATACAGCTTTTATTCTTATTTTAAACTGAGCTTTGAGAGCAAGAGTGCTATCTGTACTTTTGAAAGGGCATCCTCTCCTTTATTTGTGTTGTTTATATAAAGAGGTCAATGAATTCTACCTGGGCGCTGTCCATGATATTTTGTAATCACAAGCCTACCAAAACTTATTCTGTTGCAGCTATTCAAATTTTTTGTAAAAATCTTTCGGTCTCTGGAGTATTTTGCAAATTATTACTGGAGAGGTACTTTTTACAAGGACATGTATTGATAGCACAAGGGGTAATGGTTTTAAACTAAAAAGGGTCAATTTAGATTATATATAAGGAAGAATATTATATTTTTTTCAGTGAGGGTGTTAGAAAAGAAGAACTCTTTGGAAACAAAATAGAGAATGAATTAGCATTAGCAGAAAAAAAAGAAATGCAATCAAGTCTTCATATGAAATCCTAGCTTGAAAATATGAATACCAAATTAAAGTTTGTAGAATGCATAATCAATTTAAGGGTAGTGTTAAGGGTACTATACTTTTTAAGATCAATTATGAGGGATTCAAGACTTTTAGGCATAAACGTAAACAAAAAAGGGAAGTGTGTATAGAAAAACCCAAAGCTGGAAGCTGTAAGGTACCAGTATGACATTAACTTTTCCTCTATGACATCTGAATAGGGCAAAAGAATCAATCAAGAACAATACAGATAATAAAATATTCTGAAAAACTGTGAATGTTTTTCACAAGAAGAAAAGGTCTCATTTTGTTGAATCCTACATGATCAACGTCTTTTTATTAACAATTTTCAAAGTTTGCAATCTCTGCAATAATACATAATAATAGTAGATTTTAGTTATAAGGAATTGATTAAAAAATAACATACTGACATCAAGTGCTCAGTATGTAAAGCTGACTATTCTGACCATTTTACTATAGTCCTGCAAACCTAAAAGTACACAGGGGTCAGTGACACTAGGTAGAAGCAAAGTCATTGGCATACCACATTCCTAAATCCTTTGTGGGGCTGTCGGGAAGGTTCTGAACCTTGTAAGTTGGACCCTTGGAAGAACAGAGCAGTATTACATAAGTGCAGAACAGTATATACATAAATTAAAGCTCTAAGACCAAGAATAACTACTAGAGAAAGAGAAATCACACATGATTTTGGTTATATGTTGTGTTGTACAATTCCTGTACTGTTGCCTATATCTGGAATGCTGTGGAATTGAATACATCCTCAACCCTGATCAGGCTTCTGATCTGGACTTTTTCTTTTAAATAAAAAAATCTTGCTAAAAATAATATTGAATACAATGAAGTTTTGATTAAAACTCCAGTTGCATGATTTAAGGGCCTTTTCTACTACCCTGATATTTGCAGCTCTAATTTGTGGGTTTCATGGTACATAAATACAAATATCTTTGGCCAAGATAAGCCACATGCCATGGACAGGTGTAAGATAACAAAAAATCAAAGATGCAGGCCTAGATTCATTCTGCGAACATAGTGAATTTGGTTTATGAATTTTAACTGCGCATTTCCTGAAGTTGACATATTTAGTTTGCTTTTAAATTAACTCTTTGCCCTCAATTAAGAGAGATGAATTTCTGCACATTCTCTACCACAGCAGTGACTTGGGCAGATACTGTCTACGTGTAATTTTTCTCTGAAGAGTACAAGCATGAATGTATGTTTGTGTATGTGCATGTGTTCATGCCATAAAGATCAACTTAGTGAATGAGTGGTTTTGGACATTGATATCTGTATCTAAAATACCTTTTTTTGACATCTCCAAACATTTGTTTCACAGCTTTTGGTCTGAAGTATGCTTTGCATTCTAATCCCATGATGTTACCCCTTTCCACATACCCTAAAAATGTCAACGTCTTCAAAAACTTTACGTATGCAGTTATGAAAATGAAAATTTCAAACTGTTTGATCAGTGATAATAACCTTTTTTTATCTCCAATAATTATGCATTGTAGTGATTGACTGTGGGCATCCTGGAGTTCCTCCTAACGCGGTCCTGTCTGGTGATAAATACACATTTGGGTCTACTGTCCATTATAGCTGCACAGGTAGACGATCATTGTTAGGGCAGTCATCTCGGACATGTCAGTTAAATGGACACTGGAGTGGATCTCTCCCTCATTGCTCAGGTAATATTTCTGAATTAATGATTATATCCTGAAGTTGTTTAAAATTTATTTTGATTTTTTCAGAAGGTAATTTAAAAATCTGGAAAATCACATATAGAACTAAAGCACCATCTCAGCAGAAGTAGAAAAAGTAAACCCAAAATAAGTATAAAGTATCCAACAGAAAATAATCTGGAAGAAGCAGTCTTTCTTGGTGACATTTAATATGAAATTCACAGACTGTGGAAAGAAACTGGTACTTGAAAAATACCTACTGATTTGATGACACCTCAGGTATAACTTAGTCAAGATATGTTTTCTGAACCACTTATTGCTTAGGAATATTGTGTTTCACAACTTCAGTTTGATTCACTTTAACAGCAGCGATCAAGTGAAAAACGTAAATCCAAGTCACACGCTAATTTGGGATTTGGCTAAATCCCATTTGTTTTTGTACACTATGTAAACAAATGTTGTGATAAATGTTAACCTTGTTATTAGTTTTAATTCTCAGTAAATACTGGGGGAGGTTCTTGCTTGTCATGTTTCATTATATAACTTAAAGTAATCAGTGGGATTTCTTTAAGTTACGTAATTTAGAGCACTTAGATAACTTCAACGGCAGAAAATCAGTAGAAAACAAGTGATGTTTTTTCTCAGATTACAACTGTGCCAAAGCTACAGGTGAAAAATAAATTATATGCAAATCTGACTACTGCTATACTAGTTTCACACTAAAAATCCAAGGTTCTTTACAGTATTAATAAGTAATAGAATCATAGAATGGTTTAGGTCATAAGGGACCTTTACAAATCATCTAGTTCAACCTAGTAGGGACATCTTCCACTGGCTTCATCTAATAGTTTTTGTTGGAAGGGATCTCCAAAGATCATCTAGATCATCCACCCTCACCGCAATGACAAGGGACATATTCCACTAGATCAGGTTGCTCAAAGCCCTGTTCAACCTGACCTTGAATACTTCCAGGGATAGGGCATCCACAAGTTCTGTAGGCAGCCTGTTCCGGTGTCTCGCCGAACTCATCATAAAAAAATGTCTTCTTTATGTCCAACCTAAACTTAACCTCTCTTAGTTAAAACTGTTGCCTCTTGTCCTGTCACTACAGACTTTGATAAAAAGTCACTCTCCATCTTTCTTATGTATTTTATACATTGAAAAGCTACAATAAGGTCTTCTGGATGCCTTCCTTCCCTTTTTCAGGTTGAACAGCCCAAATTCTCTCAGCTTTTTTGCATAACAGAGGTGTTTCAGCCCTCTGATCATATTTACGACCTTCCTCTGGACCTGCTCTAACAGGTCCTTGCTCTGGTTTTATAGGGAACTTCAGAAATGGATACAGGAGTGCAGGTGGGGGTCTCACATATTCTAATTTTAGTTTTTTTCCCTGCCCTAATCTCTTCAATGTATTCAGTTATAAACTGATTATGTCAGCTACAGTTTCAGAGCATGCAATTTTACAGTCCGTGGCAGAAATAGTTGAAAATTAATATAAAATATTAAAATAAAACTTCTTGGTTAAAATCTTGCATTAAATTCTAAAGCATTGAAAGAATTTTTCAGTATCTGAACCTTCCTCTGCAAACTCTTAGGAAGCTGAAATGTGACAGAACCTAGAAAAATGGAACATGTAATTTAATGCCTGAACTTCCTGTAAATAAAGCAGAAGGAAATTTGACATAATTAGAGCAAAGATCAAGTTCTTATAAACTTTGATGTTTAGAACTCTGCACTAGAAATCACACCTTAATGTAAAATAATCTTATTTTATAAATGATTATATATTAATGTAACTTGCAAATTTGAATTATGTTAATAAAAAGTGAGTTTACAGTTTACATGCATCAATATTTGTTTTGGAGAAAAAAACTGCTCTTTAGATAAAATCTAAGGCTACTTATTGTAGTTTTCCATGGTCTTCATAAGAAAAAAAATTAAAAATCTAAACTGTGAATTACAAAAATAATTAAAGAAGTAGACAAAAATATCAAGGAATACAAATAGGAAGCCTGAAAATATGGATGAAAATATCAAAGAAGCCTCACTGAAAATAGGACTATTCTTATAGTAACTCTCCTATTGAGTTAAATAAGTGTTGAAATATCTTGGGTTAAGCATTTCAAAGTGAGGTGCATTTTTTTTTTTTCCTAATGATGGCATTTTTACCCACAGATAGGAAACTCTAATCAAATCTATTTAATCTTTCTCAATACATGAAGAAACATTTCCTTGACATGGATTTAAATGTTAATTATAATGAATCAAAATGTATAGAATACAAACTCCTATTCTCTTATTTTCCTTAGCTGTAGCATACAAAACTATAAATTCTGGCATAGTACAATTTTGAGATTTTGTATTCAAATTGTATATCTGAAATGTTTTCTCATTATAAATAATTTGCAGTTCATTATACAGTACTTCCATATTTTGTATCTAAAAATATGTAAATCATCAGCTAATCCATATTAAAGCCTTAAAATTTGCATATTTTATATTATTGATAATAAATAGTATAGAATATTCAACTGAAAAAAGGTACAGCATGCTTGACCTTTTTGTATATGAAAAAGAATTCAAATAGAAAATGCTAAGTCAGTGAAAATAGGATAATCAAATTATTTCACATCAACCCTATAGACAGGTTCTTTTTTGTCACATGACATTGAGCTAGAAGGAATTGTCATGTCCCATTGATATATATTGGCATTCAGAAACAGTTTTCAATCATCATGTGCACCTCAGATCGAGTCAGAAATTTTCTGCAACATAGAATTCCTCATAAGTGCAGCAGGGTTTTATACATACTTAAGTAGTCTAAATACCCTCCATTTCATTAAGATTAAACGTCAACTAAGAATTTGTTACACATGTGAGTGAAGGATGGCTCATAAATTACTGTAAAAATCACTTAGTTGAGTCTGCATGAGGTAATAAAAATATCTCTTACGATATCATTGCTTATATCACTGTCACTTCCTGATGTGATTAGTCATTTAGAAAGATTATTTCTGTAACCTTCAATCAAAAGAGCTGGTGGTTAACCTTCCTAAGATTAAAAGTGTAATAATTCACAGTAATAATTAGGCATTAGGAAAGAACACATGATTTCATTTGGAAGAGGAATATGTGATTTCTACTTGGCTTAGCAAATAACCTATTTTAATTTTTTTCATCATAAAATTATTTTAGGCATACTGCCAAGTAACTTGTCACAAATTGAACTGTTAATGTGAAGACTTTGCAAGTATAGAATAATGAATAGGCCTTGTTCAAATTTTGTTATAGTCTAAATAAATAATACTGGCAAATGTAAGATATGGATTTCCAAAATAGCCAAAAAAACCTTGATATTTTAAAAGGGTGCAGCAAGCAGACTATTTTCAAACAAGAGGGGTGTTTGGTTGGACACAAAGTATTTTGAAAGTTTATAAAATGTTTTTTACTTACTATAATCTGGAACTATTTACGATTTCTTTTTAATCAGGTTTGGTAGACTACTTTACTGATCTGTGTTACATAATGAAATACATAAAGAGAGAACAGCCTAAACTTTTGAGTCTGTGATTTTGAACTAGACAGTTCTTATACTTACTTGAGTTAATTTTCTATTTCTGAAAGCATTCAAATATATAGTACCGTGTACTCCTTGGATATATTGGACTAAAACAAGCATTTGTCATATGCTTACAGGAAAGTAAGCTAGTTCTACTCTTCTTTTTGCTATCCAGTTCTGTACATACTTTTGTCAGTAAAGAGATGTGTCCAACCCTTCACTCTCACCGGCATTGGTTACACACACACAGTGCCAACGAAGGCAAGAATAGCTCTGTTTTTCCCTCCATGTGCTGCTTCAGGCTCCTAACTTCTCACAGACCCTCTAGATAGTGAGTTTTGGTCTTCTGCATACTTGGAGTAGGCAACTTTATGTACTATTTCTATGTAAGAATTTTTCTTATTATTGCTATCTAAACTTAGATAAACACCAGAAATGTATGGCTATTCTACGTAACACAGCCTTTACATAATTGGAATAATTCTTTCTAGCTGATTCTTGAAATATTTCACCTTTATTTACAATAGTGTAACTAATTACAAAGTAGCGCAGACATTCTCACAAAAATATTATTATGTTTTACTTATTTTTTGTATGGAAAACATTTGTTTTATTTGCAAGTTGTTACAGAAAACTGAACAATGCAACTCCTAGAATTCTAGAATTCAGCTCTTTAGTATTGGAACTCAGTATAATATGCCTTCATCTCTTATGACATAGAAAACTGTCTTAAAGATCTTTAAAAAGATAAAGCAGAAGATCCCAAGCACGTATTAAAGGATTCAAACAACTGACCTACTGTTCAAATAGTATGTTACCTAGAGCTTCCTAAAAATTATCACCGTAACTAAAGATTTAGATACACAATGTTTTTGATATTTTTCTTCTCCTCCTTCTCCTCCTCTTCCTTTTCCTCTTCCTCTTCCTCTTCCTTTTCCTTTTCTTTTCCTTTTCCTTCTCCTTCTTCTCCTTCTTCTTCGTTACCATGTTGATTATGTAAGATCCATATACAACAGATAGTTGAAAACATTAATGCTCTATCTTGGAATTTGCTTAAAATTTTCTATCTAAGGGAGAGTATCTAAGGCAGTTTTGAAAGGATTTTTCAGCATTTCTGTAAATCAGGGAAATGCTTCAGGTTTAGTATGCATAAGATTGTTGACTAGAACTTTCATTCAATTGTAAAACTGTTTCAACTCTAATCATTCCACCATAAAACTGTATTAAAAAAGTATAAAAAGCATTTTTTGAAAACTAATTATATGCAAATAAGAAAATTGTCTTTACAATCAGGACCTTGGTTTTCCTCAGAATTCCCTATTATAAATAAAAAATGACCAAAGTTTTGTGGTTGTCTTTTTTTTTCCCTATTCTTATTTGATTATGTTATCAGAAGTTTAGTATTAAGGGAATCTGAGGAAATTAAAATTCTTTTTCTGTACTTATATAAAATAAGTACAAAGAAATTAGTGGAGAATCAAGTAATTTTGAAATTACAGGGACTTATTCTCACTGATACATATGGAGGTTTTTTCTAAACTATAAACATAAATTTATTTCTAAATGCATAGAAACCTACATTTTAAATCCAGTATCATAACAACATTTCATATTATTCAATCTTTGTACTCTAAAATCTAGGTGATACAGCTGGTTCTTGTGGTGATCCAGGTATCCCAGGTCATGGGTCTAGAGAAGAAAACAATTTTAAAATTAAAAGCACAATACATTTCAGCTGTGATATTGGATATATCCTCCATGGCTCAGAAGAAAGAACGTGTCTGGCAAATGGAAGTTGGACAGGAAGACAACCGGAGTGCAAAGGTAAATCAAAGAAGATCCATTCTAAAGAAGATTCATTCTATTTTTAAACTGTATTCTTATTATTGTTAATCAGAAAACCAATTTTACATTGCCAACATTGTATTGTGAATGTTAAAAGAGGCAAAAAACCAGAATTTTCTGTCCAACCTGTGTTAATTTATTTTTTGTCTATCAATGTCCCCCCCACCAGGAGATTAAAGCCTTTTAATGTCCGAAACAGTCTGTTAACATCTCACCTAATGAGACTCTTCACTTAACAGATTCACTGAGACTGACAGGATATTTGATACCTTTTTATATAAGGACTCCACTTAATAGCGATAGAAGAACCCCTCAGCAGGTTTCTCCTAAGAGTTATTTTGTCGTCGACAAAATTGTCAGCACCTAAAAATGGACTCACTCTAACAGTTCACAAAATAACACGTTTAATAAGACAAATTTGTGATAATGTATGGGGTTCTTTGTGTCTGAAATAGGGTCTAACTGCAAAACACACTTAAACTATGTAATAGTAATAATAAAGCCAAGTATAGGCACACAAGTTAAAGCGAAAGAAACTTAAAAAGACGTAAAACAACTTACAAAGAATAAGTAAAGCGAAAAAACTTAAATGCGCACTATAAAGCAAAAGCAACTTACAACAAAGTAATAAGTAAAAATTTTAAAGTACTATCAAGCAAAGGTAAAATTGGTAAATATGTATAAAGTGATCGCTCACCCCAAGGCGTTTCAAGAAGGTGGAGCAAGAAAAAGGTATCTCGTCAGTTCCCTCCACAGAGTTGATGGAACTTCTCCTCCTCTTTTACTTGGGTGCAATCTCTTTTTATACCTTTTTTCTTTTGGCAGTTTGAGTGACTATAGTCAATAAACTAATTTTGGGGAGATAGATGGATGAAATAGGCCCAAGGTCTATTTCCTGTGTTCCCAGCATCCAGGATGTTCACCAGGAAAAGGCCGTGTTATCTCCTTTCTTCATTTTAATCCTTTTATCAGTTTCTGGGAATGTCTCCCAGGTGCTGGGATTTTCCCAGAAACCATCAGGAGATTGTTTTCTCCTTTTGTGTGGCCTTTCTATCACCTTACAAATGGTATTCAGTTGATTTTGGACTTAAATTTTTTCAAATAAATTGTTAAACTATAGCAGTGGCTTCACATCGGGTGACAAATTTGAAACCAGTTCTTGGCACCCATGAAACTCCATGTTTTCTAGTTTTGAGAAAAAAAATAATTCCATAAACCTCTAGAACTCAATTTTTTACTGAAGTATTTTTGCACGTAAAAATCTCACCAAAACCTGACCTTTAATCACAACCAGTATACACCTGAATTTCAGACAAAAGAACTCAGTTTTACGAAAATGTCAGTGTCAGGATTTCATTAGATACACCTATGTATAAATAATTGGCTTAAAATTTCAATTACTGGTACTGTTGACATTATTATTTTTCAATAGAAAACAAAATGCAGAAACAAATTTATTTGTAAAAAATAATTTGGAAATTTAAAGGAAGAAGAATTACCATAAAAGATAACTCCAACAGGATATTTATGGAGAATAGTTTATTACCTAAATTTTCTTGCTTCAAAATAGGAGATAATTCCGAGCAGATTATTTTGCAAATAAAAGTTTCCTGAAAAGCATAAAATAATTTGAGAACCTGTACTCTTATTTTCCACTTTATCACTGTTGACTTTGTTACCTCTATGAAAGTGTCATGACATTTTAAAAATTTATTTCACAAGCTGATTTTGTTATGTCCTTTCTGCTGAACAATTGCTGTCCTGACACTGTATAAATAAATAAGTAAATAAATATAAATATATATATATTATATATACATATATATATATATTTATGTTGGTATCTGAAGGGATATGCTTAGTCCAACTGAACCAACTGCTATTTTTCTTTGATCTCATCTATTACAGAGATTAACTAGCTCTTTTAAATTTCAAGATGCTTTTGGTGTTTTTTTTTTCTTGAAATGAGAAATGTAGTTCACAGATATATAGAGATATGGGTGATGCATGAAGAGGTATATAGTTCTAGTTTAGATCATATAGTTTAGATGTATGTATATGTAATCACATAAGAAAGACACATTCAAATTCCCAAGTCGAACGTTGAAGAACTGGAAAACATCAGGGTTCCACCTGCCTATGAAATAATATTTGACACCATTCTGTGCTTTGAATTAGGAAAAATATTCTGGTGATGCTAGAAATGCACACATACTATAGATAAAAATTAAATCTACAATGATAATTGCAGATCAGGTATTTTCTTATAACTGGGAGTTCGTTTTTGCAGCTAAATTAGCTTTTCACTAATGCAGATTATAGAGCTAAATTTCTAGGTTATGTTTCCCTACATACAAAAGGGTAAAAACTACTAATTCATGTACACAACTATCTACTGTACAATGTACCTTATCAGTAGGTGGTAAAACATACATTTTTCGGGACAACAGTGTGGATTTCCACCATAACACTGCTGGCAGCAGGATTATTCCTAGATATTCCTATTTCAAAAATCACCTTTACCGCATTTTGAAAAATATTTAACATTTTCCTTTATAGCTGTGCAGTGTGGTAATCCAGGAACAACTGCTAATGGAAAAGTACTTCGTATCGATGGAACTACATTCTCTAATTCAGTAATTTATTCATGTGTGGAAGGATACATACTTTCTGGATCATCTGTAAGACAGTGCACTGCCAATGGAACATGGTCTGGATCCTTACCAAACTGCACAAGTAAGACACATTTCTAATGAATAGTCTCTGATTTTCCTCTCCTCTGAAAGACAATAAAGTAGAATATAGAAGTTGCATACCAATAAATTAAGTTTTCAGCTTTTTCTTGCACTATTTCCTGCATAATTTTGTACATGAAATACTTTAAAAAATATAATGCTATGCAAATGTGAAGATTATGGTTTTTTAAAGGCAGACACAATATAGTAAAATATATAAACTGTAACTACTGTCACAGCTTAAGCAATTCCGCAGTTACATGATCTACCTACTTGAATTCTTTCCTAGTACATATATTTTAAATCTTGTTTATGTTTTGTGATACATCATATTCAGACATTTTTATTTTAATTGCTTTGCTTCATCTTGAAAACTTATAATATTCTGGTCTTTCAGAGGTTAGAAAATAAAAACCTTGTCATAAACACCTGAGAATTATTTTGTAGTGACTCCAAGGTCAAAACTGTTGTCCTGCTTTCACATGTCATCTTCTGTTCGGCCTCTTCATTAACCTTAAACTTACTTTGGCTACTCCACTAACAGAAGCTATTTCAGCATCTCTCACATTCATAATAAGCATTTTGCAACACTTTATTTTCAAGCCCATCTGTTCCTGCTTTATTACATGTCCTAGTTCATCTTTTAGTAACAATTTTGAAAATTTTACATTTATGTGACTCATGAGACTGCCTATCATTTTGAGGAAACCATCCTCATCAGAGGTATAGCAAACTGTTGTTTAAATTTTGAACATACTTACAGCAAACCAAATAGAGCCCAAAATTTAGATGATAAAACTTCTTGTGTTATTTTTAAATCAGTCTTTATTGGTAAGCATGTGAACAGCTATTTTTGCAGTCATCAGACCTGTTTTTGTTTATTTATTATTTTCCAAATTATAATGAGATTCAGATAAATTGTACTGAGGATAAAGATGTTTTGTGATGTCAACTGCATCTATATTTTTTCGTTTATTTTAGAATAGCATGCCAAAACAGTCTTCTCAAAACACACTGCTCAGGTAGAAACATAAGATTTTTTCTTAAAACCTAGAAAAATATCTTAATAGAAGAAGTATCCTAATGAAACAAGGGGAAGGAGATTCAGGATATGCCAATTTTGTTTAGTTCAGATGTTATCAAAATTTACAGCCAGTCCATACTTATTACAGCCGCTTCTTGCATATCATTGAAAATGCTGGGGTTTAGAGCTAACACTGTAAGAAGAGAACAGCATAGATAATCCTATACCCTTTAGATACTGGGAGCCCTGGGCAGTGTACCATCGAATAAGACTGTTCCATGTCCAACATGTCATGCAGACCTATAGCAAAGATTCTCCCCTTTCAACTCTGCAATTTATTATAGGATTTTCTTAGGAAGAAATAACAATATCATTTCTGCAGTCAAACAGGAACAATGTTCTCATGAGAGCTTCTTATTGCACTGTTAAATAAAAAGCAAGGACAGCAGTCGGCAAGGTGTAATTGTGGAGTGGGGGCTGCCTACAGCAACTCTGCTGCCGTGAGTTGTCTGAGATTGTGCCCTGGCCCAGAGATCTGTGTGGCTCAGGTCTGAAGGCCATGCTGGATGTGCAGCACAGGGCAGCACAGGCCTGAGGCTCCTCAGCTTAAACGTAGTGGTTCACTGACTCGTCAATGTGCAGTGGTCTTCTGGTCAGGATCACTACAGAAATTTAAGCTCCTTTTTGCCTACCATAGTGACCTGAGTGGTGGTGATCCAACTGAAATGAAACAAAGATTAGAGGAAAAAAAAGGATAAATGCATTAGCTTTATGTTTTAATTCAGTCAAAACAATAGTATACTTGGAAAAATATTGAGGGTGATTTTAGCAAAATTTGAACATTAAGGATAATAAATGGAATATGTTAAATAGAGAAAAGTAGAAAATGCAGAATATTTGAATATGCTTGTGATTCTGTCTTTTCCAGATTTATATTATTTGAAAAGTGACCATGAAAAATCTACGACTTTTTAGTTTAAAAAAAAAAAATAATAAATTAAAATTACTGTGTTCCTAGGTAAACTAAATTAGACTGATCTCGATTTTCCTTTATCAGTGCACTAGCTACCTTTAGTCTGTAACAAATGTGGATAAAACCTTCCCAAATCTTCGTTCGTGAAGCCCAGTCATGATGATGAGCTACCTTTAGACTAACCCAGATAACCCTATGATATGTTTTCTAGTGTCTTCTGTATCCGCAGACAGTGATTACATGTGACATCTAAGATTTATGATATATGCCACACAATTAATATCTGATCACTCAAACTGTGATAAACTGTAGAGTAAGGTATATATACTATATGTACCTTGGATTCTCAAGTCCTCAGTTATTAGATCAAGGGACCTGACCAGAATACATCACAAATATGTAGTCATGGATTTTTCTGATTTTGGAGAGCAGGATACAGAGAGGGTGCCATTCACATCCATCATGCTTTGGCATTGGCTTAAAAGTGGACATGATATGCTTTCTACCCAGGAAACCGCCTCCCATGGTTTTCCAGGAGCAATAGCAAAGCTGTAGGGGCATTGTCAAGTTTACTATAAAATAAAAAAATAAAACGAAAAACACATGGAATGTTGTATTTTGTATGAACTAGATTTTCCCCTCTCCCCCCCCTTTTTTTTTTCCTGAAAACAACCACTTTGATTTATCAGAGTTCAGCATTTGGACAACACTCTCAGGTACATGGTGTGATTCTTTGGGATGGTCCTGTGCAGGACCAGAAGTTGGACTTGATGATCCTGATTGGTCCCTTCCAACTCAGCATATTCTGTGATTCTGTAATTACCACTAGTATTCTCAAGATTTCTTACTCTGAAAACAGAAGTTGATAGATCCAGTTGACTGGATCTGAAAGAACTTTATCTGTTTTAACACTATTTTCAGATGACAACGGTATAAAACACTTTATTAACTCCTTAGGAATATTTTATTTCATTAGAAGATTATGTCCTAACACTAGAGGTCACAAGAGGTTTTACAAGCACTCCTACTCATTAAAGTACCATAGACCTAGTTTTTACGTAAGCCACAGTCCATGTTTGGGGGTTGGCTGAATATTCTCATCTGTTTATGTATATAGCAACCATGTGAGCATTTCTGAAGTTTTTGCAGACATATATCTTAATTTTTCCAGGTTGTATTTTCTTTCAGAATGTATCCATGGAAAAGTAAGCTAAATAATAGGTATCCTCTTTTTTTGTAATGAAACTGATCTGATAGGAAAATTTTAGGCTATCAAAGGGTGGTAGTGTCATATGGATAATTTCTTACCTTTTTTTTGTCATTTTGTAATCTTGAAATTTTGTCAATGAAAACTGTACAGTCCTTTACTTCTACTGTTAAACAAAAGTGTTTATGTTCTCCGAATATAATTGTTTTACAACTCTACATAAATTTGGCAGCTAATTAAGATGACATATGTCTTTATCTTCTCTTGTTGGAGATAAGATTTTTGATACCTTTTTCTTCTCCTTCTTTTTGCCAATAAATGCCTAGTTTTGTCGTGTGTTTTTCCTCTCACATATAGATAAATCTCATTTAGATTTTCAAATATGTTACTCAACTATTTACTTGCAGTTATCAGTTGTGGAGATCCAGGAGTCCCAGCCAATGGCATGAGATATGGTGATGATTATGTTGTTGGACAAAATGTTACTTATATGTGCCAACCTGGTTATACAATGGAAGCAAATAGCTCCTTAATTCGCACTTGTACTAGCAATGGCACGTGGAGTGGAGTAATCCCAACATGCAAAGGTACAACACTTATTTTGCTTGTCAGCTATTTCTTCTATTACATTTACATACACTGTTGATTGTAAATTGTTAATTTATTGTGTATTTCCAGAAAAAGCGAAACTTACTGTAAAACACTTTATTATTTTGTCACTAATCTTAATTATCCAATATGAAATGATGGCTTATAAAGTTAGCATGTCATATAAAAATAACCTTTTATATGACCCTACATTTACAAAAACAACACTGAAACATGTGAAAGACACCTTTGGGAAAGGTCTACGTATATATTGAACTTTGTCAAAGGTAAATTGTTCTGAGTTACCCTATCTATAATACTAAGATTTTCCTTTGATCCCTCCTTTATTAGATGGGCACTTTTAAGACTCATCATGCTACAAAAAGACTAAATTCTTCTAGAAAATTTCACAATAAAGATTTTTCTGCTTCATCTTAGTTTCTCTACTGTGAAAACTGAAAGAATTAATTTCAAGATAATCTTTTTGTCTCTTCTAATTGCATGCCTGATTTTTCTGTGGTTTTTTTGTTTGTTTATGTTTGTTTGTTTGTTTGTTTTGTTTGTTTTGTTTTGTTTAGTGTACCCTGTTGAAATTTAAACAGCAAAAATTCTGAATATTGCTGAAAGACAAACTTATCTGTCTCATCAAAAATACTTTCTCTGAGAAACTCACTTGCTAAACCCTAAACTAACTTCTCTCGAGTAATTTTCCTCACTCTTCCTGATACTACACCTGTAGAGAAGCAGCATTACCATTTTGGTGTTTTCTTTCTGGGTTCACACTAAGCATGTCTGATCTCTATTCTTTCAAAATTTAGTCAGTTAACTTTGTGTCTATTTTGTTCTTATCTATCTTCCTTCTGTTTCATTTTCAGGAAGCACAGTAACATAGCTTTTCAGCAGTTCTCATTTTCCTCCCCTAAATTCATTCATCAAAATAAATTAATTTCAAATCTTCACCCCATTTGCAATTACTTTTTTCCTGCTGAGTGCAATTCCCCCAATATCTTACCAAGTACAGTTTAATGCTAATTCACCTTTGATAATATCAGTTTTTAAAGTTATTTTCCTGACATATTCTTGAGGACATCAAACTTTGAGATCTTCTTAACATTACACTTTTTTTTCTATTTGCACTGTGCTCTTAGCCCGCCTCAGTTTCAATTCATATTTATTTTAAGAACAGAAGAACAGCTATAGTGGTACTATTGACCAAGAGTCTGTCTGTCTCTAAGAGTGGCTGTAAGTGAGCAGCTAGAAGATCATAAGACAGAAAAAGTATTTAAGATATAGTCTCCCATCCTCAAATTCTTAAGATCTACAGGGCACCTAAGTGGGAGCAGAAGATCTAACTATGATTTGATTCAAAAAGAACCATACAAAGAAAGAGTTATACTGTCAGTTTTAACTTTGAATTTTTGAATCTTTCTGGGTTTGCCTCATACATATTTAAGGCTTGTATAAATACTAAATAATAACCATATAAAGGATCTCTAGTGTTCTAAGAATTTCGTTCTACTTGTGTGATAAGTTAATAGCGTAATCAAAAGTAATATATTCTATGCAGTAGGGTGTTTGAAGTGTATAACTGTTGGTTCTTACTGTCAGAATGAAGTGCCAGGGTCCTTTGGTACCATTTAGTTAAAATAATTGGAAAATGAACTGGGTAGAAAGTGGATGTATAATTGTCTCTGTGCCATTGAAAGAGAAGATATAAATAATTCTCTGCTATGCCTAGTTGGAAAAGGATGCGTGTTCATCTGCAACTGAATATTCAAATATTCAAGCATTGTCTTTTTTGCAGACTTGCATTTGTAATATACTTGTCCTTCTTAAACTGAGAAACATTGCTGTACATATTTATGCCTAACTCTGACCAAAATAGAGAGGCATTCTGGCTTGTTGCTGGGTGTTGTTTTGTTTTGCTTTTCTCACCACAAAATTCTGGTGTTGCACCTATTTTCATGCTACTTCTTCTCTCTCCTTTCCTAATTATTCACTGGTATTGCCTCCTTTATTGATCATCTCAGAAGTTAAAACTATATAAGACCCCTATAAAAGAATTGTTCATGAAACTTTGGGACAATGAGGACAGAGTTCTGCTTCTTGGAGTACTTATTTTGATGTACATTTATTAAAACATCATAAAAATGAGGAAAAAGCTATCATGTCCTTTTCTGGGACAAAATCAAGGTCTCAAAATTTAGATTCATTTTACTGGTTGGCAAAGGGTTATTTGGTAATAGTACTACTTTCATCCAGCATTCTCAAACAGCTATGAATGGTGCTGCAGAGTACCTTTATGGTTCATATAGTTGAGATTCTCTCACTAAAGAGTATGATAAGAATGGCAAAATGGTGCGTGGTGAACTGTCTGCAGATCACATTCACATACACAGTGCTCCTAAACTAGTGCCTCTAACTTCTTTTGCACTCGCAAGCTGACAGCTGTCTAAACATAAGTTTAAAGGATATGGGTGCAACATTTAACTTCCTTCATCCATTTTTAATCACCACATTTTCTCATTTACTCCACTAAATTAAATCATATTAGTTTTATTTGCTTTCTTTCTCTTTTGCCAGCACAGTTTCTCCAAACTTCCTCTGTTTTAACACTGTTGTCTGTCTGATTAATTCTAGTAACTCAGTCTAAATTTTGCCTTTGCTCATTTTGCTTCGGAGTTTCTTTAATTTAACTTCATTAATACTTTTTTCCTTTCAGCTTTTATTAACTATTTTCTTTTATTACACCATTATCCAGTGAATGTCACTTCTATCTTCATCACAACAGTTATATCTCTTTATTTCTACTGTCCTCCCACTGTTTTTCAGTCCTCTTCCCTACAACTGAGTAGATGTATCTATTGTTTTCCTGGGAGGCCTGGAAATTAGAAACTATATTGAAATACTTCTTGTTGGTCGCCTTAGAGGTAGCAACGCTAATAGTTTCAACGGGTTACAAATCCTTAGGTTTTCTCCCTCTAGCTAGAAGCTAGATGCTTTTGGATAAGGTGCTACTCACAAAGCAATTACTAACTAAACTGTGGTAATTAGAAACAGGCTTTCAAGTAATATTTTGGAAAAGTTGTCCTGGAGTTTCATTCCTGAGCATTAATACCTGGCAAATGCCTAAAATGGTTAACAGGAAGATAATATTTAATTATTACTACACTAATAAAAGATAATTGTGATCTATGTTGTCTTAACAGACAAACAAAATAATTTTGTAGTATACTACCAGACATATCTTAAATGTTGTACACGTCATAATTTCCATACTGATTTTTAGGTAGTATTCCTTTTTGATTTGATGCAGCATCTTGGTTTGTTTAAGACTCTTCATCAATCATCCACTGTCTCCTAAATGGAGGAAACCAGAAGTACTAACTTCAGGATATGTGGCAAGAATACAGTGAGGAAGATAGCATGTCCTGACTGTATTGTCCTCTAAAAAAGGTGAAATTAGCCCATATGGTTCTTCTAGTAATTGTGTACACCAGGGATATTTACAGCAGCTGGGCCTAATTATATTGAATATTATTGCAGCTGTTACCTGCCCAACTCCTCCGCAGATCTCTAATGGAAGGTTGGAAGGAACAAACTTGGACTGGGGATTTAGCATTAGCTATGTCTGCTCTCCAGGATATGAACTCTCTTTTCCTGCTGTTTTGACTTGTGTTGGGAATGGAACATGGAGTGGTGAAGTACCTCAGTGTTTACGTAAGTATTTGCTTTATAGTCCTGTATTTTGCTATTCAACGATAGTGGTTTTTTTAAATTTTCACTTTTTTTTTTTTTCTCAGTCCCTTCTCACCCCTCCATCCTGCAGTGGCTCAATTAATTTTAAACCTGAGACAAGTACAATCCTTCCAAAAATTCCTAAAGTTCCTTCAGTTTTCCAAAATTATAATGTAAATAATAGATTGAGGAAGTTGTAGGAATATCTGTGTGTGCATGTAGGAGTCCTCAGACAAAAACACACACAAAAAATGTTATTGGCAATGCGTACAACATAATCTAAGGCAATCCAAGATTTAGAGGTGCTGTCTTGTTTTCAGATCCAATACATATAGAATAGAATAACTTTCATTATAATTTCTTTTATTTCCTCATTACTCATCCTAAACTTTCTGTGATATCACAGAGAAATTTTTCTGCCTGTAATGTTGACTAGGCCCCAGGGTGATTCTGTGGAATTGTTTTTTTTTTCCCCACACTAAATTAAGTTACATATTTTATGCAGTAAATTTTGTTAATCTGAAAGTTATAACATTGATGGATTTTTGTATTGCTACAAATTTCATTACAGAAGCAAATTCCACTCATTATTTAAGAAATCTTTTAAAAGTAATTGTAATATTCAGTTGATTACACTGAAGAAGGAGGTACTGTAGTTATTTGTAGAATAGCTATACTACCCTGTAATGGTATTGAGAAAGGAGTCTAACTGGAAGAGGATCATATCATATTCTTGGTTTTACATTTTCTGCAGTTTAATTCAAACTTGCCAAGTAGCTGAGCTTTCCAGGTAGCTTGCTAAATGTTGCAAAATGCCCTTCTCTATTATTTTACTATTTTTTGCATTTTAATCTCTCCCTTTCAAAAATGTTCTCTATTTTGGGTATTTCCTACTACTGTAAAAGCATATCATATAGATCATCTTTTCTTTTTCTTTTTTTCCCAATTACATTTCTATATCATTGACAACAGTTTCTTAGTGCTGCTGAAACTGCACATGCTGGAGGTGGAACATGATGAAAGCCTTTGTTTTTTGTAAGAAAAAAAACCCCAACATTTGTTGCTTAAGTTCTCTGTGTGGAGCTCCTTTAGAGTCCACTGTATTATGAACAACAAAGACCACGAAAAATCATTTTCATCATTTGTTCTTGATTGAAATATGGTATTCTTTATTCATTTTTGGATACCACAAGCTGTTTGTCATTTTTGAAGTTGGAATACTGATGCTGCAATATACTCTGAAAACGTAGGCTCCACCTTTAAACTTCTTAATAGGTATATTAGCCACAGAATGCAGCTACCTGGGACTTAAAGGCTGTTTCATGCAGAGACTACATTAGCTGAACGTTGTTGATGTGCAATGGTTATCCATTGGCTTGCAAGAGAAAACAATTGGCAGCCAGTACTTGTCAAAGAGCTTAAGCTAGCTGCCATCTGGCAGAAATGAGAGGGAGCTGGTGAAAGTCATTCTCAATGAGCAATCTTTAAGCAGTTCTTGACATCAGAAATTTAGTTCCCAGCTTGGTTCCATAGAGCCTATAGCTGAAGAGATGCAAGGTCTAGTTATAACATGGATTAATTATCCAGAGTGGAATATGATCATGTCCCTGGTTGAGTATTTGTCATCTATGACCCTGTAAATTTGTTTACTTAATTACTCATGCAGTAATTTCAGTAAAGGACTGCTGGTTTTATAAGCTTGGCAATAGATGGCAAAAACATAGACCTATGCCAGAAAAGTCCTAACTACAGATATAACTTAGAATCATAGAACTATCATGTAATCATATAATATAATGAATTGGAAGGGACCCACAAAGATCATCAAAGTCCAAGTCCTGACCCTGCACAGATCAAACCCAAGAATCACACCATGTACCTGAGAGGATTGTCTGAATGTTTCTCGAGTTCTGTCAGTTTTGGTTGCCATGACCATTTCCCTGGGGAGCCTGTTGACCCTGAGATTAGCTCAGTTGGTTAGCCATTAGTTAGTTGGTAATAATGCCAAGGTCATGGGTTCAGTTCCTGTCAGTCCCTGTACAGGTGTACAGGACTAAATTAATTTAAGAGTTGGACTCACTGATCCTTGTGAGTCCCTTCCAGCTCAGAATATTCTGTGAAGTCTGTGAAGTTCCAGTGCCCGACTATCCTCCGGGTGAAGAACCTAACCTCCCCAACACATCTTCATACCATTCCCTCATCATCCTTGAGTCCTGTCACTGTCTCGCCAGAGAGAAGAGATCAGTGCCTGTACCTCCACTTCTCCTTGGAAGAGGCTTTAGACCATGATGTGGTCTTGCCACAGCCTTTTTTCCTTTAGGCTGAACAGACCAAGTGACCTTGACCACTCTTTGTATGGCTTCCCCTCAGGGCCCTTCACCATCTTCCTAGCCCTCTTTTGAACACTCTCACATAGATTAATATCCTTCTTATATTGTGAAGCCCAAAACTGCACACAGTACTCAAGGTGAGGCCATACCAGTGCAGAATAGAGTTGGACAATCACCTCCTTTGACCGGCTGATGCCCCCCTGGACACAACTGGCCCTTCTGTCTCCAGGGCTCTGCTGAATCATATTCAACTTGCTGTCAACCAGGACTCCCAGGTCCCTTTCTGCACTGCTGCTTTCCAGCAGCAGTCCCCCAGTCTGGATATACATCCAGGGTTGTCCTGTAGTATTCACAGTTAACATCTGGCAAGTTGAAGTCCACATAAGGACAAGAACAGTTGATTTAGAGGTCTCTCTTAGTTCATTAAAGAATAATTTGCGAGTGTTGACAGCCTGGTTGTGTGTAGACTCCCATGACAACATCTGCTTTATGCGTATTCCTTAATCCAAAGGCTCTTAACATGCCATAATGTCCAGGTTTTGGCCAGGACAGGGTTAATTTTTTTGCAGCAGCTGGGAGGAGGTGTGGCTAAGGCCCATATGTTTTTTTATACCACCTGAGCAGAAAGGGACTCACTTCAGAGGAGAAGGGCAGGGCTTCTGGTCATGAAAACTGCCCTGGGTTGGGTCAGGGTTGGGTCAGGCTCTGAGGTGAACATTTTGCATGTATATCACCCCTCCCTTTTGTACACTTTTGTTATTAATATTGTTGCTGTTACTGTTTGTTTTCTTTTCTCATTGCTGTTTCTAGTAAATTGTTCTTATCTCAACCCATGATCTTTGCCTTTTATGCCTCCAATTCCCAATTCCATCCCCCCACAACAGGAAGGGAAAACGGGGTTGGAGGGTGGGCAGGGAGCAAAAGAGTGGCAGTAAGGTTTAGGAGAGTCTTTGTGAGGGCATTTAATTGGAGTGTACCATTCCTAAACCATGAAACATAATCAACTGCAAGTTCCACAACCCCTCCGCCCCCCATAGTCTCCCACCTCACCTGCCTTGCCTATCCCTCCTGAAGAGTGTGTAACCCTCCATCCTGGTACACTAGTCACAGCACTCATTCCACTAGGTTTTGGTTATACCAAGGATGTCATATTTCTGGGACTGAGTCAAGGCTTCTAGCTCCTCTTGCTTGTTCCTCATGCTGCATATGTTGCATGTAGGAACATTACAAATATTGTTCCTTGCACCCAGTGTCTCATGAAGCAGACTGAAGGATCTCACTAGCATGCACTTCCTCAGACTTTGGCATGTCATCCCATTGCTGGTGTGTCATCCCAGGTGAGCCTGATTTTTTTCCCTTTCACTCTTCCAGTGTAGTTTAAAGCTCTATTGGTCAGCCCTTCTAACTCCTGCACAAAAATCCTTTTCCCTTTCTGAAAAGGATGCATCCCATCAGATTGAAAAACCCGAGGTTCCCCCAATGACACATCCTCAGAGCCATCTGTTGACCAGTTGGGTCTGCCTATTCCTTTCGATATTCTTCCCTGCTACCAGAAGGATTGAAGAAAACACTAGCTGTCCTCCTGAGCCTTCAAACAATTGCTCTAAGGTCCTGAAATCTCTTTTGATCACCATTGGACTTCTCTTTGCTACCTCATCCCTGTGGATATGAACAGCAGATACTAATTAGAGGGCTGTACTAAACTAGAGAGTTTTCTTTCTAGAGAGTCCCTTTCCCAGACCCGAGATACACCAGTCTTCCCTATGGGTTAGGTCTGGTTGGCATACTGGGCCCTTGGTTTCACCTCAGAAGGGAGTCACCTGTGAAAATTACCTTTCTTTTTTATTTGACAGAGGTGGTCATAATGCAGAGGGTAGGTTATCTTACCCTAGATGACCCTTCCAATCCCCAAAAGACCTTCATCTGCATCTTCAGTTATCAGTCCATCCAGTTCCAGGGCCTCATACCTGTTGTATCAGGGCACCTGGGAAGGTCAGGAAGGCTGGGAGGGGATTTACATGCCCCCTCTAAGTAGAAATTAATCTACTTCCATTTTCCCTCATCTCTTAGGCCCCTCCTTCTGCCTGGTGATGAGAGGGTAGGGGATCCTTTCTTTCTTTTGTCATGGTTGGCTGGTGTATCCATCTCAGGGATATGAGGGCACCAGTCCATCTCCTTGTCTGGTGCTCATCAGCCTGAAAAACTCCTCATGAAGCTCTGCTAGCACACTGAGCAACTCTTCTACCTGGGCACATCTCCCAGAGGTGCTCTCGCTGCTGCCATCAGACACTGACTGGAAACATGCTGTTAATCAGTTAAATTTCTTTTAAGAATGAAATTAGCCTCACAGTCTCAGTGTCAGAGCTCCATGGTCCTGCCTTGTTAAAGGCTCCCAGAGTCCTTGGGAAAATAGTTCCATTGGGAGTGGAAGCACTCATAGAACTTCCAGTTTGCTGCAACTTTATTTTGTTCTACAGTCCTCTCTTCCAATATCAGAGGAAAATGGTTGTGTTTTACCATGATGTCTGGTTTCCATGGTTACCTATATAAAAGGCAGATATTCAGTAGTTATTCAATAACTAGGTAAAGTTGACTGACAACTAAGTGGTGGATTTTACCTAGTTTAGAAAAAATGAATAAATTTATGAAACCCCTATTTTTGAATGCTAGAATGGTTTTTCCCTTGAGAATTGCTACTTCATTGATACAAAGAACTGTTTAGGGGACAATTTCAAGCCACTGTGTTAAAAATTTATGAGTGTTTCATGTATTTTCAAATTAAGACACAGAATTTTCTACTGAAAGCATACTACAACCATGATCTGTCATTCATACAATGAGGTACACTGTGTGGCACTGTCTCCAAATGATAGGTTCTGGTATGCTACAGATTTTTTTTTACCAGTGCTTGTGAACTATATGGGTTTCCTGTACAGTCAGTGCCTGTGGTAAGAGAAGGAGAGCAGGAGCATTTCATGTGAGCGAGTCATTTGGAAAGGTTAAAACATAGGTGACAAAGATAGAGATATTAGAAATACATTTTGATGGTTGTTGTTTGAGAGATGTAATATAAATTTTGTTCATAGAAGAAAAAGATGAAGCACAAAATTCCACTATCTGTACAGCATACCTTTTTAGAAATACGTCATTGCACACATACAAGTTAGGTTTTTTAATGATTATTACAGTATTTTATGTTTTATATGAAATTAGACTCCACAATACTGGAATCCATAGTGTGTCAGGAAATAATATAGTCTGATGACCCAGGGTTTACCATAACTGATTTAATTTCCTGGATCAATTATTCAAAATCCAACTTCTGACAATAATCAGTACTTTATACCAGAGAAGGCCAGTAAATTTGCCAGCAGCGCATTTACTGAGTTATGACATGTTATAGACATAGGGACTCTTTAGGTGATAGGTCTAAAGTAAAAATATCAATTTAAAAGTAGGTTTTTATCAGTGAAATTTACCCTGTCTAATAACAGTTTATTAGTATTTGATTTTTAAATTGTTGCAGAAGTTTCTTTAACGTGTTTGTTCGTTTTTAAATTTTATTATTGTCAGCTGTACTAACTTTCAAGTGTTGTACTTCAATACATACCAAACCTTACCTTTCAGTGAGGAATGAGAAAGCAAGACTTCACAATTCCTAAAATCTATCTCACAAATATTTTAATTGTACAAAAATGTTCAGCACTGGGTAGGTGTCAGAAAGGAGGAGGGGAGGGGAGATTGAGAAAGTTTTGTATAATCTCTGATTGCTTTCTGTAGATTGGCAGATTGATGTGGTTTGGGGCAGAGGTGAATTGTGGATGTTTGGACATTATTAAACAAGTTGTCAACTTGTTGATAAAGTTTCAGGTATTGAAACTTTATTGAAACCAAGCCCACTATGAAGGCATTTTGAACAACTAGCAAACCTACTGCAATCAGACAGACTAAAGATTGGCTATCTAGTCTCTCTGAACTCCTATGAAGTGTTTCCATATTTGATCTGTGTTTAATAAAATAAATATAAAATTTGGAGTAATTGCCTGACTGTGTTCAGCTAAATATTAATTTTATGCTTTTTAATTAATGACATATTCCATTTCTATCATCTTTTTTCACAGCAAAGTTTTGTGGTGACCCTGGAGTACCTGCTCAAGGGAAAAGAGAAGGTAAAAGCTTCATCTATCAGTCAGAAGTCTCTTTCAGCTGCAATCCTCCTTTTGTTTTGGTTGGCTCCAGCACCAGGATTTGCCAAGCAGACGGCACATGGAGTGGGTCTTCTCCTCGATGTATAGGTATGGTTAAACTCATGTATTGAAATTTTTTTAAATGCTTATTATTCCTTTTCTAGATAAAGAACTCAATCTAGGAGTTTTCAGTTATTTTAAATTAACCTGGAGTTATTCTGTACTCTGTAAGAATCAAGTCACTTTATTCTTGTCTTTGTGTTGACTTATTGCATGTTGTTGAACAAGGTTAATGTTGTGATACATTCATGTATTTAATTAAAATGCTGTAATTTGTTTTGTCTTTAATGTATTGTAATTTTTTTTAAGAACCTACTCGCACAGCATGTGAAAATCCAGGAGTCCCAAGACATGGGTCACAAAACAACACATTTGGCTATCAGGTAGAGTATACTATTTTTTATAAACTTCCACATTAAAATACTTTTATACTACCTCAAAGTCTAGAAGCTTCTGGTTATAGGTTCAGAAACTTCTTGTGTAAGAGCTCTTTGCTGCAGTGTTACTGTTTCCTTATTTCTAGCTGTTGGATTACACTGACCTTGTGTCCATATTAGCAATGAAAAACTGGTGATCAAGTTCTGCTTGAAGCCTTGAAGGCTTTCAGTATCTCCTTCAGTATCTCCTGCCATATATATATAAGTACTCCCTAAAATTTATCAATTAGGCTTTTTCTGCTTAAAAATGTGTATACTGTGTGCCAAATTACTAATGCAGATGTACTCTAAAAAGTAGAATTTTTATTTTCCTGAGAACAATTGTGTTGATACACTGGTTTTGGAACCACAAATGAATTACAGAGTCATGGAAGCTGTTGGACTCCTCTGGAAACCTCCTAGTACAACCCTCCTTCTCAAAGTAGGATCTGCTAGAACAGGTTTATCAGGGCTGTGTCCAGGTGGTTTTGAATATTTCCAAGGATGGAGACTTGACAGTGTGTCTGGGCAATCTATTACAAGTTGATCACCCTTAGAGTGAAAATGAACATATCTTTCTTAAAGAGAATTGCCTATGTTTGAATTTCTACTTATTTCCTTATTTCCTGTCATTGGGCACCACTGAAGAAAAATCTATCACTGTTGCCTGTCCTGCCCCCAGGTTTTTTTACAGACTGGATAATCCCAGCTCTTTCACCTACTCCTTGTGTTCCAGATGCTCTAGTCCCTTAATTACCTTTGTGGCCCATCACTTGACTCAATGTAGTACTGTCCATGTCTCTCTGGCACTGGCAAGCCCAGCAATGGACCCAGCACTCATTTGTGTCTCACCAGGGCTGAGCAGAGAGGAAGCACTTCCCTTGACCTGTTGTCAATGCTTTTCCTGATGCATCCCAGGAGACTGTTGGCCACGTTTTCTACAAGGCTGTGTTGTGGCAAATGGTGTTTGCATATGTTTCTGTTGGAAAAAGAATTGTAAAATTGAAAATGATTTTGAACTTCTTATTTTCCAATTCACACAAAACAGTCATGTCAGTGAGACATTTTCATGAGTGAATGGTTTACAGATGCAAAAATGCACTCTATAATTTGCTAGGAATTTTGCAAACAAAGAGAGAACCTATTCTATCCTGCTACATCCATGTTTGATGTCCGGGTGGAAAGCTCCAGATCTATGAGAAGGACTGGACAGAAGAGTACAGTAGCAGCTCCACAGATGTATGAGGTGCCTGTCTAATAGCAGGAGAATAAAATCTGCAGATTGCTAGAAATGCAAGAAAGGGTCAAGTGAAATTTAAACAAATTTACAAAATCTGGTTAGTTTTTAAAAGCAAGGATTGTAGCTAAAGACTTTTCAAAGTTCCATGGCTAAAAATTTCTTTGGTTTATCCTTTTTGGTGGCCATTATGCAGTACTACTCCTGTTTAGTGATTATTTTAGCAATATTTAGGTTTTCAGATTGTACTAGATCACAATCATATTTAAGTGAAATTAAAATTGTCTCAGTTTTCTCTAGGGACTGGAGTGCTATTTCATGCCAAGATAGAATACGCAGGAATAGTCTAAGGTTAACTTCCTTTGGTTATAATACAATATTATGCTAGAGGGCAACTCTTTATCCAACTATATAACAAATAAATCATCGTAATGAACATTTTCTATGATTTTATCGTCACAGTTTCTCTTGCATATTAATGAGCTTTCTCACCTTGACAAAGCTAATGCAGTCTTTCTCATTTGTTGTGTAGTTGTAGTTGTGAGTAAAAGCATCATTTACAGAGAGCATGAAAATATCAGGCAAAATGTCAATTGAAAAATCATTTCTAAAAGAAGTGTACCTCTTCGCAGAATGTACAACCTTGTAAATTCTAAAAAAAAAATAAATTGTAAACAGCTGTAAGGTTAGTGCCTAGCATATTTAAGCTATACGAGCTATAGTCTCCTTACCTAGCCAGCAACTTTTGCTCACGCTCACATGTAGTAACTAAACATGCAATTTCTGGTTATCTAAGTAAGATTGCTTAGTTAATACAGAACGGGGTAAAAGTATCATTCATACAGATGAAGCTGCGAAACAACAGTGAAAATGATTGCTTCTAGACAAGTTATTGTCCATAGATCCCAAAAAGAAATTGCATTATCATATATACTATAATGTTGCGATTCATTTAAACCACAAAAATATTATAAATTAATTTATATTATGCTATAATTAACTTCCTGCATGAATGGGATAATAGTGACTTTTGCTTTTATCCATAGTAGAAAGGTAAAGAATAATTCTAAATTGTTCCAAAATACTAAAGATGAGATGGCTTTGATTCTCATTTGTCTGATAGATCCAATTATCTACCATTTAAAACAGCAGAACAAAAGAACTTACATAAAATTAAGCAAAATGTTGCATTTGCAATTGGTAAATGCGTAATAAGGAGTTGTTATTGCTGAATATATGATAGTTTTCTGACCAGCACAGGGTGAGGAGGTTTTTGTTTTGTTTGTTTGGGGTTTTTTTGTTTCTGTTTTTGATGGGGGTTTTGTTTGTTTGGGGTTTTTTTGTTGTTTGGGGGTTTTGTTGTGGTTTTTTGTTTGTTTGGAGTTTTGGTTGTTGTTGTTGTTGTTGTTTGGTTGTTTGTTTGTTTTGACTCTCTTAAATACTTCGTATTTCAACTAATATTCATAGGGTCACTTAATTGACTTAATTGTCAGGGTTTAAATTTATGTCTCTGTCCCATTTAAAAAATAAAAATAAATCAAGCTTTGAAAGTTCAGGCAAATACAACATAGTTCCTGGCTTGACTTAAAGGTGTATCTAAACCTGACCTCCTGGAACCTACACTAACAAAAGCACAAATATCACCATGTCACATTTGAATGGTATTTCAGCTATTAAATGGGGATTTTGTAGAAAAAGAGGCAACAGAATTTTGTATGAATTTTATTGTTCAGTATTGAATTCTTTGGGCAGAAGCAGATCACGTTCCTGTGTGTTCAAATGACATCAAAATACCAATTTAGTGCTCCTTGGATATGGGGCATGGCATGTAAATTAGTAGCATCACCTGCTTTAATTTTTATGAATACATACTTCTAGAATGTTAACTTCCATCTAGCATTTTTTATTTGACAGATCTATCTTAACAGTGTGTCACAATGGAGACAAAATACCTTTAGAACTCAGTGAATACTGACTTCAACTGTAATCTGGAAAATAAATTGCTCCTTGGAAAGAAACTGTTGGGTTTGAAATATTTCTTTGGGTATATTGCTAGTAATATAGAAAATTGCTTATAGCACTTTCACCATGAGCTGTTGTAACACAAGATACTACTGAACTGAAGAAGCAGTTTAGGACTGCTCAGAGCAGTCAGTCAAATATGTAAGATTTATTTCTTCTCATATTTTTCCAATATATGTTTTTTTTAGAAATTCAGCTATTTTCCCTACATTAAGGCCTAAATTGAGCAAAAGAGTTGTCTGAATTTAGAAAGGAAAATAGACACATTACAGTAGTGGTAGCCCTGTACTAGCTCTTGATTTCTATTTTATGAAATACCATATGAAACTTGATCTGCAGATGCTGAGCAACCTTGCAAATAATCTACTTCTGTTAATGTAATGCTTATAAAATCTTCAGTGTTGATTGAATTGTAGGATAAAATTCCAAGAGAAATGCTCTACTACCACAGTATAACTGTCTCCATTAGCAGAGTTGGCACCATCACTGCATCAATGAAAATGTAATTTAAGCCTTATCAGACACCATGTAATTTTCCTGGTTTCTTCTGCTGCTCATGGTCCTGAGGTCTCTGGTGTCAGTGAGGTAGTTTAGTGTCACAGTCTGGAGTGCTTCACTGGCAAGAACGTGATTTTTCCTTTTTTTGCACACCACTGACACTGCAACCCCACACTGTATTTCAATCTACACAATAAGATACATTTCACTTGTGTTAGATACTTCTTTTTTTACTCCAGAAACCTGATTCTGTCCAGTGATCATGAGTGAGTTGTTCACAGCAATGAGTTCTCCAGGGCCAAGCCTGTGTTGCATCTCTTATCGTAGTCACACCTGTAGTTTTCTTCACAGCATCCCTTTGTCTCCATTTCTCAAGGGTTTTGCTATCATTCCGGCACCAGGCCTGTATTTCTCTGTACCACATCACATTAGTGGAAAATACCTCATTCTGTACATGGTAGATTCTTTTTTTTTACTGCTATGAGTAGCAGTAAAACTGTGGTTGTACCATTACAAAGATCAAGAAAAGCACAAAAACTAGTCATAGCCACCTGATCACAATAAAATTGGGTTTTACAGCTAAATCGAGTTTAAAAAAAACAAACCAAAACCAAATACAAAATTTCAAGCAGTTCAAGACATTTTCAGACAAAGGAAACCTGACAAGCCTCTGCTTAGAAGTCTTGGTAACTCAAAACCCTGTAACTAATAATGGGAATTATCTAGTACTGGGCTACCAAACTATAGACATAGCAAAGACTTAATGAGGTGTGTTTTCATTCACTTAAAATGTGATCCTAAAAGTTAGTGAATAGAAATAACTGACATTCCTTTGGCTTTTCAATCTTTTAACATGAATTGCTGGAGTTGAAAAGTTTATTAGAGTATCTTCAGAATCTCTGGTAAACTGAAATCTAAGGAAAACCTTGATTGTAGAGTAACTCAACAGAATTATCTTCTATTCCTACAAGACATATAAGAAATAATAAAGATAATACCTTATTATTATTTTGGTAATTCTTATACATTATTATGATATTATTTGGTGAAAAATTATCTGGGATACTTTATAACCAGATGCAGGTTGATATTTATGCATTTTCTTCTCAGACTGCTATTTCTCCTGTTCAAGAATAATAAATATATGGTCTTTGGGTTTTAGCAAAAAAAAGTTAGCAATGTTGATTGGGGAATATCCAAACCATAACTGACACTACAGAAAAAGCTAGGATAGGATCAAGCGTTATCAAGGAAAATTTTTTTTTTGGGACTGGATGCAAACATTGTTGCATGTAGAACAGTTCTTCCCTAACACCAGAGTACTAATGCTTCTATTCAAGCTGTAGAACAAAAAATTAAAACAAATCAGAAAATCTCAAGACTGGGAATCTTTTAAGAGCATAGAATCCTGTATTGTAGTGCCACCTGGTGTCCCCGATGTAAAAATATTGCAAAACAGACTTCATGAAATATTTTAAAATTACTTTTATTTGTTTAATAATTATTATACATAAACTAAATAATTAGCATAATATATTAATTATTGCATATTGCTTGCAATTTTTTTCTCATTTATTCATTGTCTTGAATGACAGCAACTTTAAAACATCCCTTGGGCAACTGTTGCTTTTTTGGTGCTACTTTGAGGCTTACACATATAACGGTTGTGTTTCTTGTGAAATCATAGATTAATAAAATCATAGAATCATAGAATGATGGAATAGTTTGGGTTTGAAGGGACCTTAAAGATATTTACTTTCAGCCGACCTGCTCTGGACAGGGACACCTTTCACTAGACCAGGCTGCTCAAAGCCCCTTCCATCCTCAACTTGAGCATTTCCAGGGATGGGGCATCAGCAACTTCTCTGGAAAACCTTTCCAGTGCCTCACAACCCTCACAACAAAGAATTTCCTCCTAATATCTAATATAAACCTACTCTCTTTCGGTTTGAAACCATTCCCCCTTGTCCTGTGACTTCATGCTCTTGTAAAAACTCTCTCTCACTTTGTAGGCTCCCTTCAGGTACTGGAAGGCTGTAATTAGGTCACGCTGAAGCCTTCTTTTTTCCAGGCTGAACAAACCCAATTCTCTCAGCCTTTCCTTGTATGAGAGATGCTCCTACACATAATCATGTGGGTGGCTCTCCTCTGAACTCATTCCAACAGATCCATATCTTTCTCTGCTAAGGGCTCCATAGCTGAATGCAGCATTCCAGGTGGGGTCTCACCAGAGCAGAGTAGAGGGACAGAATCACCTCCCTCGACCTACTGCCCACACTGCTTTTGATGTAGCCCAGGATGCAATTGGCTTCTGGGCTGTAAGTGCCCACTGCCAGCTCGTGTCCAGCCTCTCATCCGTCAGCACTCCCAAATCCTTCTTGGAAGGGCTGCTCTTGATCTATTCATCCCTCAGCTTGTATCGGTACTGGGGGTTGCCCTGACCCAGATGCAACACCTTTCACTTTCTCTAATAAAACCTCATGAAATTCCTCTGGGCCCACTTCTCAGGCTTGTCCAGGTCCCTCTGGATGACATCCCATTCTTCAGGAGTGTCAATCACACCACTCAGCTTAGTGTCATCTGTAAATTTGCTGAGAGTGCACTCAATCCCTTCATCTATATTATTAATGGAGATATTAAATAATATTGGTCCCAGTACGGACCCTTGAGGAACACCACTTGTCACTGATGTTCCTTGTGACTCTGAGTCATTGACCACTACCCTCTGGAGGCAACGGTGCAATCACTTTCTTATCCATCTAAAAGTCCACTCATTGAATCCATCTCTCTCCAATTTAGAGAGAAGGATGATGTGGGGGACCGTGGAAAGACCTTACAGAAGTCCAGATAAATGATGTCTTTAACCCTTCCCTTTTCCCCTGATGTAGTCACATGAACACATCTTTCATAAGACTAGTACTTTTTGTAAATAATATATTGTTGATGGTTGTTTTAACTTAGTTCTTTACCAGAAAACAAAACAAAACAAAATACTTCTGTACCTATTTGGTGCAACTTCTAAAACCTGTAGCATTTTACTACTTTGTGCTTAATCATGCAAGTGATTTAGCATATTTTCTTCAAAATCTTTTAAAAGTAATTACATAGTCCAGTGAGCAGAGAAAAGAGCAAAAAATGGGAAATGAATTTTAAATCATATCCTCTGTTGATGAGCTACTATCTGTAGTTCATGGGTTATTATTAAATTTCATTCTGATGAGCAACTTGAACTGAAATGGAATAGCACTATAAAGTTTCAAATGAATACTTGTATCAGTGAAATGCCATTTTCCAGGACTAAACTATCATGAAAGAATCCACATTTTACCTTTGAGCATCAGTCTGAATAAAGTATTATGCATTTAAACAAAATAATGAAAAAAAACAAACCCGAACCAGAACCATAAATGGGCTGTCACAGATAGTTTAAAGGTTTCAACTTCTTGTTTAAACATGAGTTGATAAATATATTAACACAGGTCAGTGCAGAACAGTAGATAAAATCTGTGCACTGTAATATTTGAGTTAACCACTCACAGTATGTAACAAACTGCTCTCTGAATGACATCCTTGTAATCTAATTTCCTTGCTTTTGATAAAAACTAGGTAGTATTTGCATTTTCATCAATTTTACCATGACTGGACATCCTGAACAGGTTATTCCATTTTGTTTGGAATATTTATTATTTCTTCCGAAACTGTAAGAATTCTATTTTCCTTTTTATGCAACACATACCCATAATAAGAATAATAATTAAAAATTATCTCAGATGAATTGCTATTATAATTGTAGTGTGCTTGTGTTCCAGTTTCTATTATCTATGTGGTATAAAGAGCAGTTATTTTTTATCTCCTGTCACCAAAAAACAAAATTAAAACATTATAGGAACATTATAATTTCTGAAGCAGGAGGCAGTGTTGTTGACCAGCCCTATCTGTTCTAATCAAATATTTCTCATTATAACTTGTGAATATATCAAGCATTCCACAATGGGGGGGGTCTAGTTCAGCAAAAGCCCTGTAGAATCTAATACCCATTTCAGCTCTGGAAGTTCCATGGTTTGCTGCAATTTTGCCTAACTGGTTCCTCCTTGGTCCAGAGTTAGAAAGCTGCCATAAACTTTGTTTCCAAAGTCACAAGACCTCAACTGTTCCAGGCCCAAAGCAACACACCAGAGAGACCACAGAAGACGAGGTTTTGATTTTCTTCCAGAGAGGATTATCAGTTTGAGGAGAGAGTAATTTTACTGAGAATGACACATTTTTTTATTTCCTATCAAAATGCTCTTTGAAATTATTTCACTTTCTACAGAAAGAGAATCACAACTTATCAAGTATGTGTTATGTGAAGGAGTGATCAAATTTGGAAAAAAAATCTCAACTGATATTTCCTCATAACAGTAGTACTGTGTTTTCTACTTTTCAACAGGTGGGAAATGTTGTTCAGTTTCAGTGTAAAAAAGGGCACCTTCTCCATGGTTCAACAACACGAACATGCCTTCCTGATCTTACATGGAGTGGAATCCAGCCAGAATGTATACGTAAGTAAATGGTAGAACTTTTTCCTATCTTTTTTTTTATTATTTAATCTAGACTATTTAGTTGCAGTAACATTGTTATAAAGTTAATTTATTCTATATGGTTTATTAATTGAAAGTTAATAGAAATTTGCATTACTAGCTTACAACAGCTAGAAATATGATTTTGTGAGTGAATTTTTATACAATACACTATAGAAATAAAAAAAAAAAAAAAAAAAAAAAAAAGAGAGAAAATAAACAGGTCTTCATCCCCAGTCAGTTTCTATCTAAGAGGGTGCAACCCTTCCAATGCACAGAGGAGGTAATGAGAACAGGACATATTGGAAAGCCCTATTCTAAAATATATAGGAAAGCATATAATTAAAGTCAGTTCTGCCAAAGAGTTTGAACTGTTTCTCAACTGAGGAGTCATGGCATTTCAAAAGGGGGAAAATGAGTTGGCAATTGGAAATTTTTGAATCTGAAATAGAAGAAATCTTACTTGAGTATGGAAAGTAGCCCTTCATTTCATAGATCTTTTACACTTTGGTTTACTGAATATATAACATCATGGTTAATTTTTTCAGTTCAGCTAGTCAGCTGTATTTTTTTGGAAATCATCTTACCTTATATGGTTTGACCTTATAGAATCACTTCAGTGAATGGAGAACATATCCCCAGAAGAAAACAGCATTAGAATTATTTCAGTTGATGCTCATGTTAATCTTAAGCAAACAGCAAATCAGTAGCTCAATGTGTTGAAAGGTGAACTCTGCTCTTGGAGATATTCTGTCCTTGAGATGACACATAACTGGCAGATTCTGGTGGTTGTTAAATATATAAGGCTCTTCACATGAGATTAGAAATGGTAATTATTTTTTCTGTCTGATATTAGGACTCACCTTCAATTTCTCCTTGACCTTTCATATTGGTTTTCAACTGACCCATTTATTTACTGTTATTCAATGCTACACAGATATCATAAGTGATATAAATCACATGACATGATTACTTTTAAGTCTGGTATGATGTTTGCTGTTTCTGTTCTCATATGTAGACAATTAATTTTGTTTATGCAAGTGCATTTCAGTCAGTTCTTGGTCCCTTGGAATTGAGAGGTCCATGTTTGAGTGTAGTTACAGGCTTACAGTGATACTTTATATAGTAACTTACAATGTGAATTAAAATATGTTAATGTAATTTTTTATTGATTTCTTTTTACTTTGTTAATTAACTGTCAGAATGGACATAGATTATTTTTTCAGAAATATTTTCCCCATTTTGACTGAAGGATATTTTATCTTTTCTTTGTAGCTCACAGCTGTAAACAACCAGAAACACCAAGTCATGCTAATGTTGCAGGAATGGATCTTCCCTCACTTGGTTATACATTGATTTACACTTGTCAGTCAGGCTTTTTCCTGGCAGGAGGTTCAGAGCACAGAGCCTGTAGGTCTGATGGCACATGGACTGGGAAAGTTCCAGTTTGTGAAGGTAAGTTCTTCTGTTTCCCACTGCACCTGTCATCTATCATATTTCGGTGATTTTCTTTATTTGCGGTTGGCATATGCAGGCCAAGAAGTTGATTGGGCCCAGTCAGCATGTTTTTATGAAACGTAGGTCCTGCTTGACTAACCAAATCTCCTTCTATGACAAAGTGACCAGCTTAGTGGTCACTCAGTACTTGGCACTAGTGAGACCACACCTTGAATAGTGTGTGCACTTTTGGGCCCCTCACTGCAAGAAATGAAGGTGGTGAAGGGTCTGGAGCACAAGTCTTATGAGGAAAGGCTGAGGGAGCTGGGGGTGTTTATCCTGGGGAAAAGGAGGTTCAGAGGAGGCTTTATTGCTCTCTACAACTACCTGGAAAGAGATTGTAGCGAGGTTGGTCTCTTTTCCAAAGTAACAAGCAATGAGAGAAAATGGCCTAAAGTTGTGCCAGGAGAGGTTTAGGCTACCCAGGGAAGAGATGGAGTCATCATTCCTGGAGGTATTCAAAAGATGTGTATATGTGGCATTTAGGGACATGATGTAGTAGAGGGCTTGGTATCATCATGACTGGGCTTCGCGAACAAAGGTTTGGGGAGGTTTGTACCCACGCTTGCTACAAACGCACTGGTGGCTAAAAAGGCCAATATGAGATTGACAAATCCGGTTGCAAAAGGTACAGCAGAAAGACTCCTTAGGTGGTATTGGCAAGACACGATTCTTTCTGCGTTGTCTTTTCTCCTCAAGAGTGATCCTGTGTGAGTTCTCAGAAGTAGCAACATTATAGATGGTGTGTCTCCAGACCTCCCGATTGGAGGCCAGAGTAGACCGGTTATGTTGATCAATGTGGCCAAGACTGAGATGTTGTTTCAGGGAGTCCTTGTGTTTTCTCTTCGGGGCTCCTCTCTTGCAGTAGCCAGTGGCAAGTTCACCATAAAGCACAATCTTAGGGAGATGGTAGTTCTTCATCGTGGAGACGTATCCTGCCCAATGCAGCTGTGTTCTCAGCAAGCAACTGTGTTTTCAGCAAAGAGGGTTTGGTAGTGCTAGGTTAACTATAGGACTTGATGATCTTAGAGATCTTTTCCAACTCAAATGATTCTGTGTTTCTATACTAATATTTGAGAAGGATGCCTGAAGTCCAAGAAGATATCTGAACCACTGTGTGAAATTAAACCATAGGGTTTAGTAACATTTTATATTTTTATGTAAGGAACTGTATGCTACTTGAAAACAAAATGTAACTACTTTGCCCTTGATGTTCCAACCTTTTGGTTTTTTTCTAATTTTTATTACCTACTTTGTCGTAGCAGGACATGAAAAACATCATAGACAAGTCACGGTGAGAAAGGTGGTTTTCATATGCCATAAGAAACATCCTCAAGTATAGGAACTGTTTGGGAATTGATTTTCTGAATAATTAAAGACCTTTTTAGATTACGGTTACCTAATGTTTTAAATGTAGTTATCCCCAGGGCTCTTACAGAGACATTCAAAGCCTCTATACACAAACACTACTACTTGGAAGGAAAATAGGAAATGAATATTTTGTATTACTAAAAAACAGGTGTCCTGGCATTGCATGCCAGGCAAGTGCTGAGTGAAAATAGAGGAGAGCATTGGGAAAGTATTAGAAAGCTAGCAGCCGGGAAGCTTATTACTTGTTGAGTACTTGGAAAGTGTTATGGCAGGCTAAATGTGACTCATGGGTTGTATTTTGATCCAAGAATTTTTTGCTGATGATATTGAAAGAAGTAGCATTAGTTGTACTACCTGATAGTAAGGAAACTTTTTAAAATATTAAGTAGTTGCTATGAGTGTATCTACATTATCATATAACTTAGTTTCCCAATGTCCTGAAAAAATGTTACAGAAATTAAAAATTTTTAGGGTAAGAAGTCTTTATTCTTGCTCCTTAGCAGTGGATGAAGCTAAGAATGAGCAACATATTGCTAAGTCTTAACTCTAATTGGGAAAAGTAAAACATTTCTTAAATAATCTTAGTTTTGCCTATACAGAGAGGTGAAATCTCTCTCCTGTGGAATAGAGAAGAGCACTGGCTCAGATTGTTCATCTCTTATTGTGAACTTCACAAAAGTAACTTGGAAATGGATGAAAAGAAATAAAGTATTTGGAGCTGAGAGCTCTAAAAAGATATTTAGGGGAATTAAACTGGAATTTGATACTTTAAATGCAAAATTGAAGTCCTACTCAGAAAATATCTTGACCTAGAAACTTAAACTTCATAGATAACTGGTTTTAGTGTTGGATTTTTATGTAACATTTGTATTTAAATGTTATTTTGTATTTAAAATTTATGTTCTGAACTTGACTAGAAATTTATTCAACTTGACAAGGTTGATTGTCTCACCTTTTTATGATAAAGCCTAATTGGAAAGTATGATCCAGATATTTCTAACCTAAACTTAATGCAGTCAGAAAGCAAATGCTATTGAACCGTGCCCTCAAGGTCAACAATGTACAGTGAAATTCAGTAAGTTTCTTTCAAAACAGAGAAGAAAGAGAGGTTAATCAATCAGTAGTAACAGTCCATGAGCACTTCAGGTTGAATTTCAACCCCTGCCCTTGCTTATTTATGTTTTTAACATACATGATAAGAAAAGACCTTTTGAAAAAAATAAAATTTATTATCAAGAAAAATATTCTCAGTCCTTCTTGCTAAAGTTTCCTTTTAATGCAGAAAAATACTCCACTCAGGGGAAAAGTAGTTTCCTTTCCTGTGTAGCTTTTTAGAGCATGGATCAGGGAGAAAAGGTATGGCTTCAGACCCTAGACCTAAAATACAAAATATTGAAATCACCGTTAGAGCCAGGAATTGAACCTAGTGCTGCATGAGAGTATTTTACATTAGGAGACAGAACTATGTGTCTTCTTTATGTTCCAGTGAATCCAAATTAGTTTCAGGAAAATAAAATAGCTTCATCTACAGGAAATTACACTGTCCTATGGCATTTATTTCATCATCTTCAGTAGTGGGAGAGTTCCTGCTCTAAGCAGAGAAGATATTAAATTCTCCATCTTGCAGTTCTCCTATCACCTGAGCAGCTGGAGATACTGTGGACAGCTTTGTTTCTTTTTTTCTGTTGTTATTCTTTGAAGAAATCTTCTCTTTTGATATTGAGAGATTAAGCCAGCATCTATGGGTTTTCAGTCTCAAACACAAGATGTCTCACTCATACTATTAGAAGATAATTAAGTCCTGGAAAGAAACATGATTTGAAGCACCCTTCTTATGTGCGTCTTCACTGTTTGGTGTTACCTTGCTTCCAGTTAAAGTACTGTTCATAGTTCCTGATCTAAGTGACATGAGAGGCATTAGATGATATATTAGAAGGGATCTCACATATTACGTGCATAGTCCAGGACTGTAAATTCTGAAACATGGATTCTGAACTGAAACCCTGCACTGTTTGACTACTGCAAATTACTTACTAGCATCCAGGTGACTGACTTAGGACAAAATGTGGCAACAGAAGAAATCTTTGGTAGAGTGTTCCTCTGATACTAAGGCTTGATACTGACTGAAATCTCATTCATATTTGAGTTTGAAACATCATCTTATATGTTTTTTAGCAAATAAATTCCATTATGGGAATTAGTCTTCATTTCTGAGTAATGTTTTACTACTCATTTATCTTTGTCATTCATTCTTTCTAACAGCTGGTTCCAAAATATTAGTGAAGGATCCCAGACCAGCTTTGGGAACACCAAGTCCCAAACTAAGTGGTAAGTACTTCAAGGTATATATAGTTTTAAACAATTTTTATAGAAAAGACAATGAGGAGCAGTTTAGTGGGATTGGACTGAGTGGCTTAAGATGAATAAAGGGTATTATATTAGGCACTAGATTAAAAAACAAATTAGTTAAATTGTTCCCCAATGTTTGAGTTCATCTAGCTTATGTGATATAATTTATATCTGTATACAATTTCTGTTGTGTTTCACTGTAGTTACTGTTCTGTGTAATATCCTATGCAATTTACCCATTCAGAAATTATCCTACTGATGCAGAAATAATTTAAAAAATGTTTCACAGTTTTTTTTCACAGTCTTGCACTTCTTTTATATATTGCTAATTTAAATTGCTTTACCTAAATACTTAGTGTTAGCTTTCAACTTGCCTTCCAAAAAAGTTAATTTTAGTTGACACAAGGTAATCTCTCAAATTCTGCCTAAAGTCTCCAGTTTTAACAGATTTGCTGAAGAAGGCTGTCTTTGGATGTCCTGACTAGAGAAACCTTTCTCTGTCCACTGAAGAGATTTTTTGAAAAGAACAGTCTCCTTAACTAAAATTAACCTTTGATTATAAACCTATTGAATTTCTGCCAATAATGAATAAGATTTAAGAGTAGTTCCTTAGAATACGGGGACTTGGGGGACTTTTTTTTTTTTTTTTTAATTTTTTGCACTACTTCAAAACTGTGTTTGTCAATGATGTAGAGCTGCATGGTAGTCATCAGTTTTGTCATTCAGAAAATATTAATTCATTTTGTGCAATCCCAATTACCTGCAAGATCAGTTTTCCTAAAAGTAGGGAAATAAATTTCAGGCAGGTCACAAATCAACAACATCAGACCATTTGCATCATGCAATTTCTTTCCTTACAGTTTGCAGGTCCAGTATCTATATGTTTTGTCAAAAAACATATGCATATATATATATATATATATATATATATATATATATATATATATATATGAATACACAGATAAAAACCTAGGAAAGCTCTTTTACCCTCCATGGGGAAGACAACTTGTCTTTGTGATGAAGGAAAATTGTGGTCGTTCTGGTGTGCCCCAGTCTTGAATTTAGAACCATTCTGAGAGAGAAAGGAGCAAATATTATTCTGTGCTTGTCTGACATGAGATACCAGTGCACGCACAAACCTTTAAGCTCAGTGTGAGTTACTCCAAATAATGCGAAAGTGCTGATTTTAAATAGTGATTGTTATAGGGCTAAATTTGCTACATTACCTTAGAAAGTGTAATAAACCCATACTAAATCACCTTCCATTTCATTGGTTAAATGGAATCTCATGCTAAGATTTTAAAGATTTGCATGTATTTGTTTTTGCTGGGTGGGTGACTTTTTGTTGTTTTGGTGAGGTTCTCAGTCGCTGGAATAGCATTACTTAAATTAATAACTTTTCAGGTTGATAATGATAAATGTGAAATGTAAAGGTATAAATTTAGCATATTTGTTCTCTGCCCTGCAGACTATGATCTGGTTTTAATTTTAAATTAGAGAATTTATTTTTTCTCCTGGTGAAGTTCATAATGTTTTTAAGCATTTTAAGAAAAGGCAACATTTCTTATATAAATTTTTCATTAGAAAAAGTGACTGGGTAATAAAGAAAATGCTTATAACATTCTAGTGTCATATAAATATGTTTATGAAAATGGTGATATCTAAACTGATATTAATTTCTACAAAATTCAATGCTAGCTGCATGTTCCTAGCTGTCTGTGCTGGTATAGAAAAGATTCTACAGGGAGAGGAATAAGAATTTCTGGTTAAAGCTGTTAGATTTTATGGAGTTGGTTTAATTTTAAGACAGGTCCATATTTGAGGAAAAAAACAAATGAGGGTATAGTTGTGCTTGTGCTCTTCAGTACAAACACATTTCTTTCATTAAAGTTCATACCAGGTTTCTGTGCTTTATATGCAAAAATTATACCTCCTGGCCTTAAAAACAGAAAGAGCAAAGGAAAGAAAATGCTCATATTTGTCACACATTTTGTTGGATATTTGACTTTGAAAGTACTAAATATTGCAATTTGTATTGAAACATGTTTATGTCTTTATAGTTCCTGATGATGTATTTGCCCAAAATTATATATGGAAAGGATCTTACAATTACAAAAGCAAGAAACAACCCATGACTTTGACAGTCACCAGTTTCAATGCAACTTCAGGAAGAGTAAATGCAACACTTACAAACAGCAATATGGAATTGCTGCTATCAGGTATGGCCTAAGAAATAGAAATTTCCTTTTTTTTTTTGTGCTTTATATACATTGGTTCACTGTAACTTTATGCATAACACTTAAACTTTTAACATCTTCTGGAAACTTTCTTAGCTTATCAAAGAAATTTTCATTGTATTTCAGTGCCATTTCAAAGGTAGAGATTTTCCCACCTTTTCTTTCTTTCCCTCCCTTTTTTTTGTTTTAGTTTCCCAAGTTTTTATTATATTTGGAGTTAATAGTCAATAAGGAGTAAAAGAATAATCCTAATTCTCATGCTAATTCTTTAAATATTATAAATAAACTGAAATTGCTGTTCCTGAGATTTTATTATTATTAATTTTAAAATTTCTCTACTGTAACCTATTAATGAGTAATTGTCAATATGATGAGATTGATATGTGTTGATCTAGAAAGCCAGAGATACCTACTGAACATGGAAAGAAAGTAGAAATGACACTTTTTAGATTATCTTTCATTTTCTCTCATCCTACCTCTTGCTACTTGAGAAAAGCAACCAAAACCCACCTTGCTCCAACCTCCTTTCAGGTAGTTGAAGACAGGACATGGTCTCCCTTCAGTCTCCATTTTTTTCTAAACTAAACAACCATTCCCTCATTCTCCTCATAAGACTTGTGCTCTAGACCCTTTTCCAGCTCCTTTCTCTGGACATGCTGCAGCACTTCAACGTATGTCTTGTAGGAGCCCAAAACCGAACACAGGATTCGAGGTGCGGCCACACCAGTGCTGAGTACAAGAGGTCAATCACTTCCTTGGTTCTGCTGGCCCCACTATTTTTTATATAAGCCAGGATGCCAGGCCTTCTTGGCCACCTGGGAACACTGCTGGCTCATGTTCAACCACTGTTGACCAGCACCCCCAGGTCCTTATAAGCCTGTAGTGTTACCTGGTGTTACTGGGACCCAAGTGCAAGGCCCATTGATACGACCTGTCCAGATCCCTCTTCAGAGCCTTCCTACCCTCCAGTAGATCAACACCTCTGCCCAAATTAGTGTCATCTGGAAACTGACTGAGGGTGCTCTCGATCCCCTCGTCCAGATCGTTGATAATGATATTAAACAGGACTTGCCTGGGGAACACCAGTTGTGACCAACCACCAACTGGATGTAACTTCAATCAACACAACTCTCTGGGCTCATCCGTCCAGCAAGTTTTTTACTCCGAGTCCACCTGTCCAACCCATGAACAGTCAGTTTCTCCAGAGGAATGCTGTGGGAAATGGCATCAAAAGCTTTACCAAAGTCCAATTAGACAGCATCCACAGCCTTTCCTTCATCCGCTGAGGCACCTTATCATAGGAGACCAGGTTAGTCAGGCAGGATCTGCCTTTCGTAAACCTAGACCTGATACACTGGTTGTCCTGCACATGCCATGTGATGGCATTCAAGATGACCTGCTCAGTAACTTTCTGTGGCACTAAGGTCAAGCTGACAGGACTGTACTTCCCTAGATCCCCCTTCTGGCTCTACTTTTAGACAGACATCACATTTGCTACCTGCAGTCAACTGGGACATCCCAGGTTAGCCAGGACTGCTGGTAAATGATTGAAAGTGGTTTAGGGAGCATTTGGGTGAATCCCATCCGGCCCCAAAGACTTGTGTGTGTCTAAGTGGTGGAGCAGATTGCTGACCGTTTCCCCTTGAAGTCCCCTTGGGGACATCAGTTTGCTCCCCATGTCTGACTTCCAGCTCAACAGGCTGGCTACCCAGAGACATAGATTGCCTCATGCTGTGGCTGCAGAAGAAGTCCTTGCATGCAATGTTGCTTTGTGATATTCCACAGTCTCTGCCATTCACAGCACTGTTGTCATGGTTATGTTGGCACAGTAGGCACAGTTCTCTGTGCTGTAAACCATCAGCAGAAACTACAGATATGACTGAAAAGATACTAGAAATGTTTGGATTTAAAGTTTGGGGAGGATTTTTTGTTGTCGTTGTGGGTTTTTGTTGTTGTTGTTGTTGGTTTTTTTCCGAATCTGTCAGTCCCTTGATTGAAACATCTCAAGCACACAGAAAATGGGTCTGTCACACCACAGGAGTGGCAGGCTATTACACAAGGGGGTGAATTGGCATAAAAGAAACACCTGAAATCAATATTATCACTCAAAACTTAGTTTCTTGAAATTTCATCCTCTGCCTACCACATTGTTTGCAAGGTTGGAAAAAGCCTAAAAATTTCGTTTATGTATAGGCTGGACACTGCTGTTTTTAATCTTCCTCATCGCTCTAGGACTCCTTTATCTGAAGTAGTTTCTTGCCACTCTTTGGCGTTAGCAAGGACAGAAGTGACAAAACATCACCCTGTTGGAAAAAAAAATGGGAGGAAAGTTCAACCCATAGGTTTCTGAGAGGGGTGATCTACAGGAATGATGTAATGGGCCAAAGAATCTCTGTTTCTGTTGAGGTCTGATTTTCTAACATCAAGTAGAATGGTGAATTTTTATCCCTGGATTTGTCTGTTGAAGGTATTTTGTAGGTTTCCTTATAAGAGTCATACTTTAGAGGCTGTAGATGGACTGAATGTTTTCTGATTAATAATAATGTTTGCCTTTACTGTGTGTGATTTTTTTGCTGTTGTATGATGTCTCTTTAGTTTCAGCCATGTAATTTCTGTAAGGGAATTAAGAGCAGCAGATGTAGTATTTTGTATTTTTAGAATTAGAAAAGTGAAATGCTGTGTTCTCACCCAAAAATTTCCTTCTCCAAATAAAAGGTTCCTTCAACTGCACACAAAGGTGATTACAAATAACCTTTTTCACTCTACATACACACATTACACTCACTCACCATTTTCAACTGACTATGGATACAAAACTCTATTAGTCTGAAAATTCTGCTGTCTGCTGTGTCATCTCTTTGCAGCACTGGGGTCCAATATTAAGCTATTTGGTTGTGGTAGCATTTCTTCCTTCTCTACCTGTAGATGCAAAGGACGTGAAGTATCTGGACATTTTCTTCCTTCCACTACAGTGTTAGCTAGTGGTGTTGTGCAGCCTTAGTTATTTTTTTTTTTTTCCACTGGACAATGTGGTGGATTGACCTTGTATGGGTACCAGGTGCTCAATAAACTACTCTGTCACTCCCACTCCTCAGCTGGACAGGGGAGAGAAAGTATAACAAAAGGATAGTGGGTTGAGATAAGGACAGCGAGAGATCAATCATGATTGCCGTCATGGACAAAACAGACTCAATTCATGGCAATTAATTTAATTTATTGCCAATCAAACAAAGGTAGGATGATAAGAAATAAAAAAAAATCTTCCCCACACCCCTTCCTTCTTCCTAGGCTCAATTTTACTCCTGAGTTCTCTATCTTCTCCCCTCCCAACAGCACAGGAAAATGGAGAATGTGAGTTGTGGTCAGTTCATCACATGTTGACTATGCTGCTCCTTCCTCCTCACTCTTTTTTCCTGCTCCAGTGTGGGATCCCACCCCCAGGATACATACAGTACTCCACAAACTTCTGCAACATGGAACATTTCCACAGGCTGGAGTTCTTCACAAACTGCTCCAGTGTGGACCCTTGTCAACATATGCTTTCCATGAGGTGCGATTCTTCAGGAAGAGGCTGCTCCAGTGGGTTCCCCACAGGATCACAAGTTTTGCCAGTGATCCTATTTCAGTGAGGGCTCCTTCCTACATGGATCCACAGGTCCTATCAGGAACTTGCTCCAGCACAGGTTTCCCATGGGGTCACAGCCTTCTTCAAGGCACATCCATCTGCTCCAGTGTGGGATCCTCCACAGACTGCAGGTGGACCTCTACTCTATTCTGCATCTCCATGGGCTGCTCGAGCAGAGCTGCCACATCATGATATACAGGAGGATCTTTGCTCTGGCATCTGGAGCACTTCCTCCCCTCCTTCCTCACTAACCTTGGTGTATGGAGGGCTGTTTCTCTCACATATTCTCACTCATCTTTCCGGTTGCAGTTTCACAGTATATTTCCCTCCATCTTAAATCCGTTATCCCAGAGTGGCTACCACCATTGTTGATGAGCTCAGCGATGACCAGTGGTGGGTCTGTCCTGGAGTCAGCTGGCATTGGCTCTGCCAGACAAAGGGAAAGATTCTAGCAAGTTCTCACAGAAGTTGCCTCTGTACGACCACCACTACCAAAACCTTGCCACACAAACTAAGTGATCAAACCCATCAGTTTGATGCCATCCACATCTGTTAGTCATCATCATGGCTAGGCTTTGCGAACGAAGATTTGAGAATCTGTTAGTCAGTATAAACTAAAACCCCAAAAATATGATGCATAAAAAACAGTGTTTAAATCAAATTAATTTACAGTATGAAGTCTGTTCTGTGAGTTTTAAGTTAGGTTTGATGAAATTTTCTGTGTATAATTAGTATTAATTCTTGGGGTTTGTTTTTGTTAATGTTTTTTCCCTTGTTTGGTTTTGGTTTTAGTTTTGTTTCTGTTATAATTTTAATTATCATTAGCTCTCTCTCATGTAAAGTGCAGTATAACCTTGTGTGATTCTACAAATAGGGGACTTTGTATGAAATGAACAGCAATTTTGGTGGTCTTCTAGAAAGAAAATGATCGTACTAGAGAGATCTATTTAAAATCTGAAGTTTTAAACCATTAATTCATAACAAAGTTTAAAAATGTGGGGGAAAAAATCGTAACTGTATTTTCACTATTCACTACTGTCTTTGTAAAGTAAGATTAAATCACTAACCGTACTGTAGCATTTTATTTTAATTTCCAAATAAGGAAATAAGGATATTTATGTTCTAAATATTTATTCTACAGGAACAACAATGAGACAGTTAATTATGCCTATGAAGTAAATGAGGTTGCATACAAGTCTTCTCATTGTCTGGGAGAAACTGTGTAGTACTGACTGTTGAAGAAAATTTAATTTTTTCTAAAATATTTTCAAATTTAGAATTTTTTAAGCTTAGCTCCAGCTTTTGGAAAAGAATTTGTGTGTGGATGTTCCTATTATCACATTCATTATGTGATGATTAAATTATATCGATGGAAAGTGGGGATGTGAGGTTTAAATACACTGACTCAGAAGTCTTTTCCATCTCAAATCAGATTACTGTCAATGTTTGTTCTGTCTAAGACTTGTTACCATAACTGTCAAGTAACAGCTGTGTGTAAAGGATTTCCCTTCTGTCCTTTCTACAGGCTAAGCTAAAAAATGGTTTCTATTGAAACCGTATTATTATTCAAATAATTTCAAGAAAGAATACATCTTGCTAAACTAACAATGGTAACAATTGGCACCTATTTTTCCTGCTTTCCCTTTTTAAGAAAAGAGATTAAATGTTTCTTCTTAAAGATGAAATTATTTTTCTACTCAACACAAATATGAATTTTTAAAACTATATTCTACAGGAGTGTATAAAAGCCAGGAAGCTCGGCTAATGCTCCACATATATCTCATTAAAGCACCCTCCCATACATCTGCAAGCAAGTTGAAAGAGGAAAAATGGGCTATGGATGGTTTTGTGAGTATATTTGGGTTATAAAAGAGAGATAACTTTTTTTCTTTGTTTGAAATCATGATGGTGTTTTACACCCAAAAAATCCTGAGACATATCAAATAGAATCTTGTTAGCAAGGCTGATGCATTAAATGAAATAAAAGTTTTGTTGTAAGATATAGGAAACCAGTCTGAGGGAAAATATGGGAACAGTCATACAGTGTAGACAAAATTATAAAGTGTGCTAATACAGAAGTATTTCTTGTAGGTTTCTTTTAATTTTATTCTAATATATCTACAAGTTTCATCATACTTATAATATCAATTTATTGTTATATTAATAAAAAACCAATTTTTATCATTATGCTAGCAATCATGTTTTACTTTTTGGTGATATTTTCAGGAATACCATGAAAAACATGAATGGTTACATATACAGGGAAAAAAAAATAAATTACTCCAATTAAGCATTAGACATCTTGGAGGTTCTAGGTCTAAGCTTATTCTTTAAAAGAGAGAAGAAGAGAGCATATAACTGAGAGGAGGAGAGGTGAAGGAGAGGGATAAATAGAAGAAACAACACGTGGCTGGGATGTGTTTAAATCATGAACAGGAAATGCTTTCAAAGAAAAGATAAAGAAAAAAGTAGATTTTTCAGAAAAGAAAGGACCTAACATAGCTTGGATTATTATAAACACTCATACATCCTTACTACACCACCTAATTTTTCAAGGAATTTGTCTTTTTCCTTGTGTTTTACTTCCTGGTAAAGCACTACAGTGACACCAATATGGGTACATATGCCAAACAAAGAGAAGAGGTGTATACTGAAGTGTACTCACAAATTGTGGCACTGCTTCAATATTCATTTTAAAAAAGGTGCAAAATCAAAACCAAAGCACAAACAAACCCTAAATTGACCAAGCAATAAATGTGCTGGTAAAAAGGCTTAACTTTCTTGGCTTGAACAAACTTTAGGCTTCATGAGCATGCTCCTTACGTGACAAAAATATGGTAAGAGCAAGGAAATTGCTTTCAGACTTCTGAATATACAAAAGCAGACAATTTTTTTTTTTTTTAATCTTACAATAGCTTAAAAAGGCTGCTTTACTCCAAAGTAAGAAATTCACTTGAGAAAGGCACTCTTTCTCCAGTGAAAACATAGCTTCAGGTCACTGCTGAAGGCATACTGTGTCTTGAGAAAGGGAAACAAGGGAAAAACTTGAAGGGACCTGCCTAGGAACCACCGAATTTAAACCTAATAACTATCCTTAGAAGTAAGTATCTGTCAATTTGTATACAGTGCATTACTTTAGACTGTACTTAATGTAATTAAGAGAGATAATCATAGGATCACAATCATCTCCCTCCCACAAGCCTTTTAGTTTATATTATTTTGCCCTTGTACCAAAGCCTTATTCAATATTCTTCTGCTTCACAGCTGTATAATTCAGAAATTATTGGGATAAACGCTGAAAAAGATCAAATAAACTGTCAATTAATGTGAGGTCTTTTTTATTTAGTTTAAAAGTAGTTATTAAAACCTCAATACTTGCATCCTTAGGATTATACGCAATATAAATTTTTCCATCTACTTCCTAAACAAAACAGAAGATTATGACGTATATAAGATCTTAGAAATACTGACATCTGAACTGCCAGAAACTTTGAGTTTTACTGTTTTTAAAAAAAATACAGTTAAAGGTATGAGGTATAAGGTATCATATAAGGAATCATATGTGACTATAAGCCACCATATCTAAGGTGTGCCTTTTTATTTGAGTTTTTTATAGAGATTTTCTAGAAAAAGAGGGTGTTTATAATGGGGAGTAACAGCTATCAGTCAAGCATATAAGGATATAGAATAGAACAACTCCCTTTCAAACAGATGCTTGTAACTTGCAAAAAACTTTTCCACATTTAATTCAGAGTACTTTTTGTTTACAGGTTTCTGCTGAACCTGATGGAGCAACATATGTTTTTCAAGGATTCATCCAGGGTAAAGATTATGGACAATTTGGACTTCAAAGATTAGGTATTCAACAAATTCTAATTCTTTGCCAGTTCATTATTTTGTATTCTGTATGTTATCAGTATTGACACTGTAGTTAATACAGCTATAGAGAGATTTACAATCTTTGAACAGATTTTGTTTAGCATGTTTACCACTTCACTATTTCATGCACACAAAGACAAAAATAGCTTCTCTGAAACAAAACGTTTTGAATGCTGTTCCCACACAATTTTCCTCAAAACATTCATGGTTGTTAGTTTTTTTGTTAGTTTATTTGTTTGTTTGTTCATTTTTGTTGTTATTTGGGCTTTTTTTAAATTTCTATATATTGCCTTGTAAAATAAAGAAAACAAGAAGATATTATGATGGATGCCATTCTTAAAAGGTCCAGTTAAAAGCTTAAAAATTAACTTTGAAGATGCATTGTTATTACTTTCCTCACATTTAAAAGTTGTATAACCTGTCTACCTCTTCAGATGATTGACCATTTCCGTGACATTACACTTGGGTTTTATACATGTAGTATTTATTAATTACTGAAATACGGAAATATAATCAACAATATAATCAATATAACATATGTGTTATTATCGATTTGACTTTTTGTAACACAGTAAATTAATGTGTGTTAATAACATCCAACACTTAAATCCCATGCAGACTTATGCTGTAAGATATTTACTATACCAGAGCATATGTATTGTTCTCCCAACTTATTAATCAGAATATGATATATATATATATACTTTCCAGATGGTCTCAGCATACAACTGTATCTATGCAGCTGAACACATTTTGATGACCCAATAACAAGGTGTTATTGAATTCTGAAGATTATGGAGTAGTATGTGCTGGAGATAACAGACACATATATGATATTACTTGTTTTTTCTTATTTTTTTTTTTTAGGTCTTAACATGTCTGAGGGTTCAAGTTCTTCTAATCAACCACACGGTACAAATAGTAGTTCAGTGGCCATTGCTATCCTCGTGCCTTTCTTTGCCCTTATATTTGCTGGTTTTGGCTTTTATCTTTATAAACAAAGGTAAGTACTAATTATATATACAAAATTCCTCTAATACTCTATCTGTTGGTGATTTTATTGCCTTCAATCTTTGCAAGTGAATAAGGTTTTCTGTAAAACCACAAAGTGTTTGCAAAATATGGAAACCTTCTTCCTACCTCCATTAAGGTCTAGTATAATGATTAAGAGACAAGTTTATTGTACTGTGCTATACTTTCATTCCTACCTATTTAAAATTTTATAAATTTCTTCCTTCATTATAATAAAATAGATGTCATAAATTATTGGCATATGGTGAATAATATAATTTGTAGACTTTATGTGTACTTACAATGAGTTGCCGATATTTTTTCTTCGTGTGACAGAACTGAATCATATTCTGAGTAGTTTATTTTAATGCCTGCTCTTTTTGTTGACATACAAGTATATGCAAGTATGCCATTGAGAGGTTTCATTGTGGAACTGTTTCTATATCTGAAATTATTAGTTCATATGCAATTATGATAAACAGCCACCAGTCTTTTCAGTTTCATTAGTCTGAGTTCAACAGTTTTGGTCATGTTATCGAGACCACTATTAATTATTTGGATGCAGTGTCAAGTAACCTTTCCCATAGCTTTAAAGCATTAGATAACTGAAGAAAATATAACCACTTTAACGACAATTCATTGCACATTAACTGCCAAAATGTTAATTTACGTCTGATAATCTGACAATAATACTATTAATATACTCTATGGGATAACAGTATTTTAAAACACGTACCATGATTTTTAAACAGCACTACTCGTTTTCAACTGCTTCAGAATATGAAAAATTCCCCATGAAATTTTTTATGTATTTGTTATTATCTGTATGCTGTAAGCACTGATCTTTGCACTTTATATTGATGATTTACAATATAGTATGCATTTTGTAGAGCAATATGGATGAAAAGTTTTTAAGAGTTTGAACTCTGGTATTTTGAGTTATTTAGTGAAAAAGAAAATGTTTCAACTATATTTCTTCGTAAACTTGTCAAGTCTCCAAATGGAAAAGAAAACCTCAGTCATCTGGATAGGGGAATTATTGTGCCTTTACAAGATTTTATTGTACTCTTTGCTATTTATCATCTGATCATCCAATTGTAATGGATAACAGCTTGGATAATGGATCTAATAACAATGGACAACCTCTTCTAAGGTTGTTAACTAAGTTTCTAGGTGAACACCATTTTCAATGAATCATAAATTCCTTAAATTTAATAAAGACAGTACTAATTCTTAGCATAGATATTGTAAAAATAGCCCCAAGATGTTATATTTAGCTCCTATAACTGGAACTGGGAGCTAACTTCTGTTCTGATTCTTAAACTTCATTAAGTCAGTGAGAAAAACTGCAGTTACAAATGCTCTGTTTTTCTTCTACAGGACTGCACCTAAAACACAGTATACAGGATGCTCTGTACATGAAAATAATAACGGACAAGCTGCTTTTGAAAACCCCATGTATGACACAAATGCAAAGTCAGTGGAAGGGAAAGCAGTACGATTTGACCCCAACTTGAACACTGTTTGCACAATGGTATAATGTGGTAATGATTTGTCTTCAAAGTCTGGGAATTGACACACAGAATTGACACAACACAGTGCACACACAGTTCACTGATTGAAAAAAAAAAGAAATTAAAAAAGTTAAAGCACACTTTTCAGGATGTAGTGGGTCACCTTTTCCTGAGGACGATAGGCAAGTATGCGTTGCAGTTATTTTGTTTTCATTTTGTTTTTCATAAACTGGATCAGAATTCTTCATGTATACCATGGAGAGTGTTAAAAAAATTTGCTGCACTCCATGAGTGCTACTCACAGTTTATTTGCTTTTTTAAAAAAGGAGGTTATTCTAAAACATAAAACGTATTTGCATATATTGGAGGAGCATCCACTATCAGTATTCTGTGCTTTATAAAAACTATAATAGAGGGACTGGGTTAAAAAAAAAAAGATATAGGTAGAAAATAAGAGCTATACTTACAGGAGACAATAGGTCACTGATTTCTCTTTAACAGTCATATGCTACACCTTTCTCATGAGTTGGTACCTTTTTTCCTTTTTCAGCCTGTTTAGTATTTTATTTTTCTCAGTACAGTTAAGTTTTTAAGTCCAGGATGTAGTATTTAGAAATCAGCAACTATAACTTTCTCTTTTCATGCCACAGAAAAAAAAAAATTGAATTCATATTCTTATTTAATGAATTTCCTTCCCTGCTTCACAACTTACTTCATTTTCATGTTCCAAGTCAAACCTGTTTTCTGTGTTTCCATTAACAATGCCCACAAATGGTAATGTTTATATATTTCTTTTTTCAATCATACATCTGGACAAATTTTACAATGAAGAAGCTAATATAAACTGAGCTTTGTATGTGACTATGTTTGGTAATGTTGAAGAACATTCAAGAGTGACCATCTTACATTTTTTCAAAAATGAAAACATAATTTAATGATATTTCTTATTAAAAAATGCAGTTTACAGTAACATTAGTAATGAAATCCATATATCAAAAATTTAAGAGTCCATCTTTCAATCCATGTTAGTTAAAACTAGACCATATCACACCGGTTTATTCCTTCAACATTTTAACAAAATGCATACACAAAGCATGATAAAATCCCATTGAAGCTGATGGATTCTAAGAGACTTCAATGAACTTTGGATCAGATCTACAGGGCAAAAGGAAGTTATAATTTGAAAATACTGTGTTTTCACATCTATTTTGTCTATATATTCCGTACTTTAGGGAAAAAAATCCTTACAGCTCATTTAAAATTAAATATATTACCATAGTGCAATGAAAAAAAATTGATATATATATATATATATATATAAAGCCATGATTTTATTAGGGACAATCCATTCATTTTAGGGACAATTCAGATTCCACAGCCCTCAGATACAAGTTTTAGACATTCTAGAATCACTTCTAAGGAAATGCATTTTTTAGTTTTACAGTTATTTCATATCAGAATTATTTAGTGGGAACGCAGTAATTTATTTGATGTAGGTCATTGTCTTCCATTCATAGCATGACTCACAAATGCTGTGTGTTAGCCAGTGTGAATTATCTGTTATTGTCCCTTTCAGACATTAATGATTCTGTGAAAATCTAAACTTTTTATTACCGTAATAGAGAGTGCCTACCAAAAATCATTGTACCCAGGATTGCTGCTTGGATTTCTATAATGTTTGATGAATTTCTTATAAACCATTTTACAACACTTTGTTTTGAATATTCATACAACTCTGTCAAACTGTATTCTACTAAAAGGATGCTGTTTTATATTTTATACCATTGGTTGTTATTTATTCTCGTTTATTCAAATGACTGCAATAACTATGATTCATTCATTAATGTTAAGGTTAATACGTTTGAGATCGTTTAAAATGTTTCTTCTGCAACTGGCTACTCCTCTTATATTAATGCATACACTTTTGTAAAGAAGTATATTTTTATGAAAAAGGATTTGTAAAAGTATGATGTAAATTTTCAGTGCAATGTAAACAAAATAAAAATGGACAATTGCTTTTTTAAACTGTGTTTCTTCTTTGGAAGATGAGCTTTAAAATTATTTCAGTTGTGAAGGTGAGAAAATAACCAAACTAAGAATTCAAATTTGGTATTCTTTTGGGTTTCTAAAATCATGTTATTTTTCCTGAATCTTTCTGTGAATTTTAGGTGAAACTGCAAGATTTAGATTACTTTCAAAAACAACTGATAAGCATAATGTGTAAAACTATTTTTTTACTAAAATCAATTTTCTGTTTTACTTGAAGAAGCAGATTTGCACAACAGAGGCCTACAGTTGTCAATCCAGTGAAAAGCACTAGGAAAAAAATTACTTTAAAAGAAAAAACTAATTTAGAAAACTTTAGTATTCCTCAAGGTTATAGACAGCCTACTTTGGACATTATTTTGCTACCTTTTTGCAGAAATATACAGGACATACATATTAACGGGTAGTACCAGTACATACAGTATTTTCTGACATTAAAAAATCCCAGTGTTTCTTTTAATCATGTTCGACTTGAAGGAGGGATCTTAGTTATATTACTAAAGTACTGAAACTATCTTTTAACTATCTCTTTTACTTAAAAGCATGGAAGGTGGATGACGAATCCTGATCTGAAATGCTATTCATAGGATAACTTGGGGACAAAATAGTCTAAAATTCATTTGCGAATTTGGTGCTCTATATAAATTGAAAAGACCCATTCAGGTCCATGTTGAAATCACTGAAATTTGTGTTACTAAATACATTGGAAAGAGAAGCACGGAGTCACTGTAAAGTGATATCATGAAGATCATGCACTAATGTTTTGGGGGGAGGGGGATTCTAGAGCAAATTAGTTAATTCTGAAAAGCAAGAAAAAGCCAATTTCACAGTGGCCAAATTTTCACATGCAACCTAGAATCTGAAGTTAGGCTCTTCTTTTTTTTGTTTATGCATTATATGTTTTTACACACAAAAATAAATAAAACTTACACTGAATTAGTTCCACAATCCTGTTAATTAGTTTAAGCTAATATATAGCTTGCAATTTTCAGGAATTATACTGACTTTCTTGTAATAGAGAGTGCATTCAATCATAATAGATTTAATTTGGGGTTTGGTTAGTTTACTTTAGTTTTGTAGATTGGATCAGTTTGTTTGTTTAAGGCTTTTTTTATTTTGATTTGGTTTTGGGGTGTCGTTTCGGCTTTTTTGGCTTAGTTCCTGAGCTTTTTGACTTACAAACTGTGTGTGAACTGTTCAATTTCCGAGTAGCAGAGTGGTCAGTTTTCACTTTGGCAGATGGAATTCAAAGTTTTGGTTGTTTAATTGGAGTTTGTTAGCCCAGTCTACTCACTGTTTATTATTTTTCTTGGGAAGGTAGCAGAATGGAAGATAGCCCTTTGGGTACATTATTCAAGCAAACACAGTATACAGAGAAAATCTGTTTATCAGAAAAAATCAGAATAGAGAAATAAAAAAAAAGAATTGAGATTGCCATGCAACTCTGTGAGTCTTTCAAGATGAACACAGCTTCTGCAATACTACACACTGAGATTTAAAATTTAATTTGAGTCCTTTTAATTCTACATTATCTGTGTGTCAAGACCCATCTAGTCCACTACATGTCACTAGATCATACTATAATCTGGTTCATTACTGGAATCCAGAAACTGTATAGAATCAACTAAACTCACGAAAATAGCAGTTCTGGTAAACCTCCTCAGAATCATCATAAAATTGAGCTAAAAATGTCATATTTTACTTTATTTTGTGAAACAGAGCTGGCATTAATATGTAGACATCTTATCCTTGAGGAATTCCATGACTAAAGTAGAACAAGCTGTTCTTGTCAAGGAAATGGTTTAATGGCTACGCCTATTATTGCTTCATATAGAGAGCTAATGAGAAGTGAGCCTGTAGCCAAGTCATTAAGCTGTTAATCTAGGTGAAAGACAGATTTTCTTTTCCATGCCTTAAAAGCATGCACCTCAACCCACTAGTACAGTTGGCTGAAGTGTTATGAAGTGTTCCTCATTTTTTCCAACATTAGTGAAATTTGGGGAATTTAATATCTTGGATATCACTGCACAAAGATATCAGCAGATCTGTATCCCAGTGTGTAGATTCAGTGTGTAGATTCAGTGTGTAGATCTACTACTTAGCTACTACATTATTTCAGTAAAGCATAGATGTCTTGTGACAGAATATACTTTTTTTTTTGTTATTGTGCAGATTTCTGCCCATGATCTGTCTGTAAAAGATCACCTGTTCCACAATGGAAGAGTCCATATGTGTTGAAACATCCTTATTTATAGGATGATCAGAGTTGAAGAAAAATATATCTTGTAAAATTTACCATATTAAAACCCTACAGTCTTTGAGAGATTAATTTATGGAAATTAATTTATGATTTCAGATTTTCAGTGGGAATTGATATAAGTACCTGAAGCATCTAGGTGACCATTCAAGCAATGGTACATTCAGCAACCAAGTTCCAGGGCTTGTCTCACACACTTTGCTAGTAGTCTTACTAGTCTTTCATGGTACATCAGAAAGTCTTCTTATGATGTCCCAAACCCACAAAATTTCCTTTAATTTCTTTGAGTTTCTATGATTTAATTTTGATTTGGTTACCAAAAATTCAGTCAAACATGATGGAGAAAGATGCACTAGGTTTGTTTTCTGGTAATCTGTATTACTGGTTAGCAAATAAACATGTTATTCTTTACTTCCTTTTATATCTTACTCTGTGAAAAAATTAATTCTTGCACGAGAGTGTTCACATGAGACAAGCAGGATACAGTGTTTAGGAATGCAATTGGGTTTTAAGATTCCTACTCGGTATATTTATTTTCCAAAATCTTTGTGTGATTCCAACTGCCCTTTTTTAAACAAATGAAGCACTAAGTTGGTTTTATCTTTAGTTCCAGACTAAATCTCCCACTGCCTGATCATTTTCCCCGTCATCTACTATGTACTGCTGTCCTAAGTGACAGCAAGGACAATTGAAAAATGATTCATAATTTGGTTTCCTTGTGTA